TTCGAATCCGAAGTCGATACGCAAGTTACGGACGAAATCCATATCAATTTCATTTTTGAGCTTCTTAAAAGCTGTCAATTGCAACCCGGAGAAGAGTTCTTATGAAGAATGTGAAGAGTGGTGCAAGAAGTTACATTCATAAGTGAATGATCGATCGACGAGCGATCTGACCGCGAAATGTCAGGCTTTCAGAAGTTCTAATCTTTCACGTGACCAGTTCGACTGGGCTAACGACATAGGCCTCAGAAGATGACTGCAATTCATGTCCCCAAAGCCCGCTCCACGAGTCGACCTCGTGCGAAATCTCAGCGTCACCTGCTGCGATGTCGTTTGTCTTTCCTGTATATGATATAAAACTAGAGGAGGAGCAGTGCGTGTACTCCAGAACCCGGCGCAAAGGAGTGCCCTCGAACTGTCTGTCTCACTGGCACCCGTCAGAAGAGCAGGACAGGCTTCAGCCGCCAGGGAGCTCGCACTTTTCTCTAAACAAAGACATGGAGGAGGTGCAGACCACGAAACGACCCGGGACGTGCAAATGGAGGGAAGAAACTCGGAGCACGGTGCTGGAGCAGAGAGATAGATCTCCATTGCACCGGCAGTCTCGACCGATGTACAGCTCGCCTGGAACTCTGGAGGCGCTCACGGACTCACGTCCTCATGCTCAGATCCAGATCCACATCCGTAGGCTGACAGGCCTCGTACACGGGCCAGTCCAAAATTCATGATTCTCTGTGCAAATGGCTTCCCGGAATAGCTCTGCCCTCGGCTCCTCACGTCGGTTCCGAAAGCTTACAACTGCTGGACACTGGACATGGCTTCGTGGGCAAGGGTGTGGTGTGCCTCGTCCATCGATCCACAAACAACAAACGCAAAAGCCTGACAAGTGCTTTGCTAGAGTCTTTGTGGGTTCTGGTGGGAGGGTGGGAGGGAGGGAGGGAGGGATGGCGCATCAGATACGGTTTAGCGGGTGTATTCGAGCTCTGTACATTTGGCATGATGTGCATACGGTTTTAGATACATATTAATTTCAGCTTCCGTAGGCAGACGCAGTAAATGCGAAGGCACGATGGCGATGGGGTCTTTCTGCTTTGTCTCCCTCGAGGTGTGAGAATCTTGGAGGTGACCTCGCCGGGGAGCTTGGAAGCACATTGAAGAATCTGTTCAGGCTGCAATGGCATTTCGTTTTGTAATCAAAGTAAGTAAAATGGAATCTGTCCGTGGATGGGTAACAAAGTCGAGAACTTGGGAGCTCAATCAGTTCAGAGTGACGCAGGAATCCGTCGATTTGTGGACCAAGGAATCTCCAACTTTTCCAACTGGATACCGGACGCTTGAATTGTCTGCCGAGCTGAAAAAGCATTCAATCTTCTTTCCATCACTGGGAACCATAGACAGGACCAAGAGTGGATTAAGATCTCTCTCTCGATGTAGAGGGTCGTCAACATAACAACCCTCATGCCAATGTCAATGCTTTTTCTGCTGTCAGGCCTTTCCTGTCCATTGTGAATCCAAGATTGTTTGCAGAGGTTGAGGTTTGGAAGGTTTACCTGATCCCAATCCCTACCCACAAGCGTCTGCCATTATTCCTCACAAAGGAAAAAGATATGATTTTTTCCTTCAATAAAATGAGAATGTGGATGAGTGTACTTGAGAACTGCAGGAGGGCCTAACAACTGGAGGAGCCTCAATTAAGGTGCTTCTAATGACTGCTACAAATTTAAGAATACAAAGGAGACGAGTCGCAATTTGTTCGCTTGTGGGATATTGGACACCTGCAAGTAGTGCGTCATGTATCCTACCGCTGACATGATTAATCTCTTTATAGACGATCACTCTAATCTGGACTGAAATATATCTGCTGCCTCTTAGAAAGCATTTCCGTCCCTCATTTTCCATTCATTTTAATGGATGCCCTCTCTCTCTCTCTCTCTCTCTCTCTCTCGGTTGGAGTGTGAGAGTATATGTTACCCATGGAGACTAGATGCTAACCACTTGGTCTCGCGAAAAGGGGTTGATGCCCAGCATCGAGAAGCATCATAAGCACGCTCGTCGAGATGGATGAACGCAGGGTGGTGGGGTGGGAGAGGGAGGGAGGCAGGGAGGGGGAGGAAGAAAGCTTTGCACAATGCGCTATCCCTATTAATGCCGAGGTTCAACATCACCCGCAAGGTGACAAACATGATCACAATCTTGTGAATCTGTACGACCTAGTGTTAGGCTTGAATCCACGCTTCCAATGAGAGGAAGACGTACATGCCTCGGAGACTGACGTTCTTGCCTCCCTGCTTTAATATCCATCTAAACCTCAACCTTATCTTCGTGTCATGCACCTTCATTCCACACTCGAAGCAAGACATGATAACTTCGTATTCGTGAGCAGCTTCGAGAGTGAATTGAATAATCGGGACCGGTGCTGCTGCTGCCGGTGGGACGGACTCCGAGGTAGGGACGGTACGGGCACAAGAGCTTCACTGAGAAGCGACGAGTCCCACCGATATTCGGCTCCGTAGGGATGAGCTGAGCTGAGCTGAGCAGAGCAGAGCACTGCCAATCTAGCAGTTCGTATGTGAAGTTATATCGGTTTGTGAGTTGCCCTCCTGTCAGATCACACTGTGAGCTTTGACTTCACTCGAATGCTCAATCAACCGCAGTCATTCACTGACTCATGGCACCTGCACCTGCTCCTGAACTGACTGACAGTCAGACAGACAGACAGACAGTACTGACTTACTGACTCTTCAACGTCGAAATCTCAACGACATGTGAAGCTCATCGTACAGTACATGGCCTGAGAATCAGACCTGGAGGACATGGGGCAATCGGACGGTGAACGGGTTTAGGGTTCTGGGCTTACAGCAACCTCTTTTACCCTTCTCCCTTGCGATGGTGTGCACACCATCGCAGTCTTCGCAGCCTCGGTGATGTGTACTTCCCGGTCACTCACGCCAATTTATAAATATAAGCTATGCCCCGAGTTGTATGGCAAAAAGGACGGGATCGCCAGCTTATATTTATCCGATTCGCCCTGGGGGGGTTTTTCTGGAAAATAATAGACCGAAATTGTGTCGACTGCTGAAGAAACCGTGCAGCGAGTGACGTCGATGCGCGTCTATGATATAAATGAACCGATGCTTTACATTTCTCCAGAAGGGGATAACGATATCTCATGGCCTCTCAGCCACGCAACAACAGCAACAGCAACAACACGCAGAATCGGAACGAGGGCCGCCGTCTTACAGCCAAGTGGAAGGAAGATTGACATATTCTCGGAGATTCGGGAGAGAGCGAGCACGAGAGCCCGTGACCTGATGCAAAGACGTCGGGTCAGTCGACGGACCCGAACTGTCTTTGGGGTTCCTTCATCTCACCGGATTGACGTATTTCAATCCACCCAATTTTCCCCAAGTAATTCCAAATTCACGAATGCGCCGATTGAAGTCCATCGAAGCTGAGACGAGAGGAAATGAGAGAGGCGAAGCGGAGGAAGAGGCCAGCATCGTAAAGTCGTCTGGACCCGCCGCCGGCGATCTGACCCACCATGGTGGTCACCGAGGGCCCGAGGAATCCAGCCGAGACCAGGGTCTGCCTACACACGACGCTGTGGCGCATCCGAGAGAGAGAGAGGGAGAGAGAGAGACCTCGTGCTTGCACGGGACGGGACTTTCAACGCTGAGTTGTCGTGCCATTGCGCGGAGTCCAGCGACCGATACATGCGAGCGAGCAATCGGAGGGGGTAAACGGACGAACCGGCCGCCACCTCGGATCGGTCCTCGGATGCTCTCGACAGAGGTCGCTCATGTCTACGGCCCGGGTACGGTACAGGCCGGCCTCGCCTCCCTTTTCTCCCGGTCGCGTGCCGGCACCTGTCAGCGGGACGTCCAGTCAGTCAGTCAGTCAGTCGGTCAGTGAGTCGTTCTGGCCTTCGGAGGAGAGACCGGTAACCGGCAACTTGGAATCACACTCAGCGAGCTGATGGGGCGACGTGACTCGATCGTGCAGGAGCCGGAGCAGATGTAGCCGTTCGCCGCACACCGTGGACGGACGGGATCGACACGGGGTCACGGAGTTACGGAGTCCGTCGTCGCCCGTCGTGCTAATTTCCGCTTGATTACAGAACGGGCCCGATGAGTCCTTGGGCCGGCGGGGCTTCGGCTTCCGGCCGCGACTCTGTCGCGTACCGCTGGCACGCGAGATCGACGCGGCGTCTGCGCACTTCTGCGACGTCGATGTGGCGAGGGCGGGCCGTGACCTCCCGAGAGAGCGAAGACTTCCGATGCTGAGGTGGACAAGGAGGTGGAGGAGGAGTTCGGCTGTCGTGGGGTCGCTAGCGTCCAAGCAATCAGAACTTCCGGTGAATCAGCACCCTCGCCGGTGTGTGTCCGTTGGCGACCCCCATTCTCACGGGCTCGTACCATTGGTCGGCGTCCCGTCGCGGGCCCCGCCGGCGTCGCGCCGAAAGGGCTTCGCGATGTCGTCGTCGTCGTAACAGCTGAGTCAGAAAGGTGGCAGTGGTGGGCCGTACGGTGGTCGGTCTCTCGGGCTCTCGATCTCTCTCTCACTCTCTCGTCGTCCGTGAGGCAGGAACGTCGCGACCGGAGGATATGCGCGGCGGTCCGACACGCGCACACGGACCGCAGTAAAGAGGGGCTTATTGGATTCCCTGCCTTTTTATCTATCGCGGAGGGAAGTGTGGCGGAAGGGTAACTGCCCTGGCGACAAAAGCCTATCGGCGGCTACGAGATAACGAACGAGCGACGACGGCCGTCCTGCGCAACACCGACGGCACGGAGCATATCGCGACTGCGCTCCCCGGGGGGGCGGGGGGTTGAGGGGTGGACTCGAGACTCTGAGGCCCCAGGTGTCCGGGGAAAAGGTCCTCCACGTGGACGGGGACCGGAACAACGGGTGCGGCAACTTGGGATGCCGCCCGTCCAGTCCACGTGCTAAACGGCGGGGGAACGTCTCGATTTCGAGAGGTCCTTGATTGGCTGCCTCCGATCACATTTCCCCCTCCCCCCGGTCCCCCGGGGGCAGGGGGAGAGTGTCGTAGTAGTAAGTGTAGTGTCGTCTAGAGTGGCCAGGGTAGTAGTAGTAGCTCAGCTCAGCTCAGCTCAGCAGCAGCTGCAGAGGTGGCCACCGAGTTCGGACACAGAGTGCGTCAGACGGGGACAGATCGAGAGGGTGGAGAGCGATCGCGAGCGAGTTAATGAGAACAGCACCTCGGGGCCTCGAGGAAGGATTGTGGACTGACAGTGAATCACGCAAATTCGTTTCGACGATGTTGAGAGTTGATACTTGAAGTGTACCGACGAGCGACTGTACTGTGTCTTCCTTCTCTCCAGTACTCCGCCAGTACTGACTGCCCCGCCCCAGTCGATCCCCCGTCGTCGCTAGCGCTGAGCCCTAGAGATTCTCTAAACCGTCCGTCGAGAGAGAAGGAGAGAGAGAGAAGGAGAGAATATCGAACCAGTACCCGAACCCGAAAGTGAATGGGGCTGAGAGAGATAGAGCGAAGCGAACGACGAGGCCTCGGACTCTGAGACTTCACTGCTCTGGACCACACTGTCGCCCATCGTCTCCTTTGGCAGGTGCATCTTGTCTGCCTCGTAACGAATCCCACCACGAGCCAACCTTTCCTCGCTCCCTCCCTGCCTCCCTGCCTCCCTGTCCGAGCTCGGACGAGCAGTGCGAGCTGAAGCAGCGTACATTGGCTTCGGGAGTCCACGTGCTCTGCTGCGAGTGCGCCTGATCGACATCGGGGACACAGATCGGAGCGAACGAGAGGAAGAAGAGGAAGAAGCGGAGCAGTCGCGCGCCGTGAGAAATTGCTCTTTGCAGGGGGCGGATGCCCGTGGTTGTGAATGTAGTAGACTCGGGGTGTCGTGAGCTTGGAAAGGCTTCGGGAAGTGGCGGTAGTTCGTATCACAGGTCGTTGGAGACGAGAGGAAAATCATCGCGGGGTTCGGAGAAGCGTAGAGTAATTGCGAATCATGTTACTGAAGCTGCTGGTCGATTCCAATTTCGACATCAGAGGTGCGTCCCCGCTGAGCTCCGGCCGAGACCCGAGCGCGAGCGTTCGGATTGCTGCAGCGATCTGACGCAGTGGTGGTTCACGGAGGACGAGCGACATGGGGAGAGAATTGGTGACGACTCCGAGTCGACTGTTTCGAGGCAAGGAGATGATGAGTCCCAGCAGACTCTTCCGGCGCCCGTCGATGCCCAAGTGCCCCGTCGCGGCCTTGCAAGAGGGCCACCAGCGCATTCTGGTCGCCGTGAAAATGACAGAGCAGAGCGGAGAGCTGATCCGCTGGGCTCTCACCGAAGCGGCTCGCACTGGCGACACATTGACCGTCATGCACGTCACGGAGCCGTGGGCAGCTGCGCAAACATCAGCAGGTTCACTCCCCGCCCCCACCACCACACTCGCTCGCAGATCGAGCCCCGATTCTATAGCTCTAGACTCAGCAGCATCTCCCACTGTCGGGCCTTCCGAAGCCTTCCGTGTCTCGTCGCAATTCCTCTACAGCATGCGCGTCCCTCGACAGGAATCTCCCTGCGCCTCAATCCTCAAGCCTTCGTTCGGGACACAATTAGCTGGGCCCTGCACTCAATTCGCATGTCGTGTCCGGGGTGTGTCGTTTCGGAGTCACTGAGAGAGAGAGGATTACAGTCGAGAACTGACATGGGCTTTTGCAGAAGCAGCGGAGCATTGTGACGCCGTGAAGGAGGAGCTTCTCGACACTCTGAGCGCGCTGGTCTTGTCTTCTCGCCTCCACTCGACGGTGCCAGCCAAGGTCGGTTATCGCGCAGGCCATCCCGACGTGCATGCATTGCTCCTTTCTCGCCCGTGGCTTGCATGCGTGAGCTTCTGAGAGAATTTCGAGTCTTGATGCTCACAGAACAAGCAACCGTGTGGAATATTGCTCACCCGCAGGTCACTGTGACGGTCGAAGTCGTGGAGGGCGACAATGTGGGCACGGCCATTGTGACCGAAGCTCGACAAATGAAGGCGACGATGGTCGTCCTCGGGAAGTGCGAATCGCAGATGCCTTTGTCGCCCAAGTGAGTCACCGACCCAGCCCCTTTCTGCATGCTCTGAAATCAATTCAACCCAATTCCCCTCCGCCCCACCTCAATTCGATTCAACGCAATTCCATCTAATCCAATCCAGTAAAATTCAGCTCAGTGTATTTCAGTTCAATTCGGTCCAATTTGATGAGAGTCGAATTGGACGACGAGCATGAAGGAACGGGAAATCTGATGTGCGTTTTGGTGCACGGGTGCAGGCGCATGACCGAGCTGGGCAGGCTGTGCGTGAAGAGCCTGTCGTCCTACTGCAACGTCGTCGTCGTGCGCAAAGGCAAGATGATGGTGTGCAGGCCGGGAACTGCCAAAGGTACGGGGGAGGGACTTTGGGTGGGGTGGGATGGGGTGGGGTGTGGAAGGGGTGATGAAGAAAGGGTGTCGAGGGTCGCATGGTTTCGGTCGAGTAGGTATGGAGTGCGAATCTGATGCGTGGGTGGAATTGGATTGGACAGCGGACATGCGGCAGTCTTTGCGAGTGCTGCTGGAGTCGGAGAGAGGCTCTTTGAGCGAGCTGCTGCAGGGAACGGAGCGCATGTCGGACGAGGAATTCCACGACGAGCCGGGCAGAAGAAGCAGCAGCAGCAGCAGCGTGTGCAGCTCGCTGTACGAGAAATTCGCAGCGGCAGACGGAGCGGACTCTCCCCCGGCCATCGCTATCGCCGCCGCTTCCGCATCCTTCAGCCGAGCCAGCTCCATGGTGTCCGACAGGAGCTCCGATCCCAGCAGCAGCAGCTTCTCGAGCAATGGCTCGCCCAACAGCGTCCTGGACCGCTTCGCCAAGCTGCAGCTGCGGCCCGACAAGGCCCGAGCGCATCTCGATCAGTTTCTGGCCGACGCCGCGTGCCTGCGCAGCGATCGCTCGTCCTCGTCCTCGTCCGTCTCGGTCTCGGGCTCGCTCGACGGCTCGTCCCCCGAGCCCGAGCCCGAGCTCGTCGCCCCGCAGTTCCATCTCGGCAGCGAGTGCTGCAAGAGCGGGCCCCTCGAAGCCGTGTCGGAAGAGGATGCGGACGCTGCGGCCGAGCCCGAGGTGGCCCCCCGCACCATCTCTCCCCCTCTCCTGGCCCGCACTTGCTCCGAGCTCAAGTACGAGCTCTCCGAGTCCGGCCTCCTCTCTCTTCAGCACGACCTCGAGGAGCAGATGCCCTCCATTCGCAGATTCGCCTACCAAGAGCTCCAAGAAGCGACCGACGACTTCTCCCCTGGTAACTCTCTCTCTCTCTCTCTCTCTCTCTCTCTCTCTCTCTCTCTCTCTCTCTCTCTCTCTCTCTCTCTGACATGTTTCACATTTTCCAACCTCGTGGCTGCTCAATCCGAGGAATTCTCCGTGCGCCATCGTCGAGGGGAGCTCCGATTTCTCGAAATCAACGAGGAACGAGCGAGATCGGAGCTCGGGAAGGAATTTGGTTCGAGATTGATTGTTTGTGCTCGCGGAGAGGGATGGGATTGGGGAATTGTGGGATCGGGGGATTGTTGCTCACTACGCAATGGGAATGGGGAATGGGGAACAGAGAACCTCGTGGGAACGGGGATGGCGAGCAGCGTGTACAAGGCGCGATTGCGGGATGGTAGCTGGGCCGCTGTGAAACGGCTGGAGGACAGGACGTGCGTGGGAGAGAAGGAGTTCATGATGGAGATCATGATGCTCATCTGCACGCACCATCATCCGAACCTCGTGACTCTGGTGGGCTTCTGCGCCGAGGGCACCCGGCGCTCGCTCGTGTACGAGTACCTCGCTCGAGGAAATCTCGAACAAAATCTCTACGGTTCGTTTTCCCTCCCCTACCCTCATGCCGAGCACACACGCACGCACATCTGCCATCGAATTGCAAATCTAATGTGTATCTCGTGCAAATGGAATCTCGAGCTCTGAGACCCACCATCCATCAATCAAATTGATCCATGGACTGACGATCATCAGTCGCTCGCCTCGTGCAATTTCTCAGGCGACTCTTCGCGTTCCGTTCTGAGCTGGGCGCAAAGGCAGAATGCTGCAGTCGGCGCTGCCAGCGGGTTGGCCTACCTTCACCAGTTCAAACCGCGACCCATCATCCACCGCGACGTCAAGAGCCAGAACATTCTCCTGCGCGAGAATTTCGAAGCTCAGGTACTACGAGGGTCTGTCGACCCAAACCCTCCGAACCTTCACGATCACGAGACTTTTGCTAGTATCAATAAGTTTTGCTTTCTCCATGAGTGCGGGCGCGTGAGCTCGAAGTGCATTCTCGCTGCTTGCGCAGGTGTCGGATTTCGGGCTCGCACGATGGTGCTCGGATGGAAGTGCGGATGCCAGTATGACGACCAGCGTGGCGGGCACATTCGGGTATGTTGTCTGTCTGTCTGACCCAACAAACGATTGAATGAATGGCGAATTCCGATCGATTGTTCCGCTCATACCCTCTCCGAATACCTCGTGGAAACATGGAATTGTGTGAATGAATCGATTGTGAGCTTCTGTGGTGTGTGTGTGTGTGTGTGTCTCGATCGATCGGCAGGTACATGGCGCCCGAGTGTTTCATGTACGGCAACTTCGACGAGAAGACGGACGTGTTCTCGTTCGGCGTGGTGCTGCTCGAGCTGATCTCCGGAAGGAAGCCCATCGACAGGAGATACCCGGAGTCGCAGCAAAGTCTCGTCCAGTGGGTAAGCATTCGTCCCGATTCCCTTCGTTTATACTGCCGCCCCACAATCGCATACGAGGATTGGAGAGGAGAGGAGAGAATAGGAGAGGAGAGGCGAGGCGGGGCACATGTACTAAGAATCCCTGCGTCCTGACGATGGTGATGGGGCGATGCAGGCAAGATTGCTGCAGAGGAAGCGAGAGATGCATAAGCTGGTGGACCCGCGGTTGACGGACATCAACCCTCATCAATTTAAGCGGATGATGTACACGGCTTTCCTGTGCATCGAAATCTCGCCCGACGAGCGGCCTTCCATGGACAGGGTAAGGGGCGCTCTCTTTCTCTCTCTCTCGATTTCTCGATCGATCTCTTGTGATTGAAGTTCTCGCTCGCTCAGCAAATGCACTAAGTGTCGTGGAGTTGGGGCATACGAGGCGAATCGAGGCGCAATTAACAAGGAGGCGCACTAACAACAGAACAGAGTCGATGCATTTGCATTATAGAGTCGCGTGAATGTTTCACATCCTCGAGGATTTCGTTGGAATCTCCATCTCGGGATTCCTGTCCACGCCATGCCATGCCATGTGGTAGAAGCCCTGCGCATGCGCGCACGCACAATCTGCAGACCATCATGACGAGATTGCGACGTAATAATGGGGGATGAAATTACTCGGTCCACGCACCCACGTCAATTTTGACGTGGGTGTGCGATCGAGCGAGCGAACGAACGAGTGAGTTCACTCGCTCGGCTCGGAGTTCTGTCGGCAGTGCATGATTGACCCGTCGCCTCTCGTTGATTGAGCGAGGCCACCACTCCACTCCACGAACCTTAATGGCCCTCGCTGACACGGATCTCACCGCAGGCACTCTCAATGATTTGCCTTGTCCGCGTCCCGCAGCCTCGTAGACACAAGGCTTCCATGGATACCTCCCACGAGATGATGAATGAATGAATTCACGAGGCTTTTGGAATCATTAATCGCAGGGCCGGTCCGAGCTCCGCTGATCGACACGAGATCTTATGTTCTGTGTCTGTGTATGTGGGCAGGTGGTGAAATTACTGGACCCGCAATGCGAATACTGCGAGGAGCCGCTTCTCTTCGCTCAGAGCTCGTCCCCGCCGCATTGCGCGTTGCCCGTGTACATGGCGTGATCGATGTGACCCGATCCATCGACCAAATTCCTTCCTACGGTGTACGATTAGGTTCTCCTTATACATAAAAGCAGCAGCAAGAGTATGGCGAGTCTTACATCGACCATTGCGATATCTTATCTTCACTCTCGCGCACTCACTGACTCACGGTCGCTCTCATCAGCAGGGCGCATCCGACGGCACGACGACGACGACGACTATCGATACATAGGAATGCGCCTGTGATAGATTCGATTTCATGGAACGGGAAGCAAGAAATCATTGTAACTTTCTGTACAGAGTAGAAAAAAATCCGTTAGCTAGCGACAGTGGAGAAGATTAACTCCACACTTCCCCTGCGGACCTCTCGCTGTATGTACGAACGACGATTTTAATTGAGAAGTGTTTTTTTGGACGTGTACAACGACGAGCGTGCTCTCTTCGCTGCGCTTGGCTCTCATTGATTGATTAATTGATTTTCTTCCTTCCCTCCCTCCCTCCCTCCTCCTGCTGCTGCGGACAATTTCGTCCTGCTAGCGAATTACTCACCCGGCCCTCATAATCTCGAAACCAAAGATTCAAACATCTTCTCAGTTTCCTCTTTCAGACACAGTCGATCACTGCCTCGTAAGAAGCTTGCAAGAATCATATGGCAGCTCTCTCTCTCTGCGCCTGCCTGACTGCTGGTTTCACATGCCCTTGAAACCGCAAGTCGGCGACGGTGACTGACTACTGACTAATGATGTATGCAAGAATGTAGACAGCATCTTCACTCCAAACAATGGGCTTAGGTTCTCCCCGAGGTTAGCCGAGCCGAGGCATGGCGGATCCATCCACATGTGGGACCTTGGCAATGCTGTGGCCAAGTGAAGAAACGATGACATGAATGAGCGTACCATCCACACTCAGACCCTGCCAGGTCCCACAGGTCGGTCAGTCAGTCACACAGACAGACAGAGAGGCAGGTAGTCTGGGTATGGCGCTACCACAGTCGAGCAGACGAGGTCATAGAGTGCGCCGCAAGCGTCGTCCATTGTTCCGAACACTCCAGAGCCCAGGAGCCCAACGCAGTTGCGTTGGGCTCCAGTCTGCTGCTGCTCCAGTACACAGAAGTTACGAGAGATTCGTAAGGGAGGGCGACTGCTGTCCTATGCTCTCCTCTGCTCTGCTATGCAATCCGAGCCTGTGCAATGTCACTGGTCGATTTCGTCTTCGAAGCAGCGAGTGATGGACGCATTTGTGATTTGATCCACCGACCTCTAGGGACGACGAGCGTAGTGAACCTGCCGCTGTCTATGAGCGCATTAAATGCCCGATGCGCTTTATTGCCTCGGGGCCCTGTGCCTCCTGTGTCCGCTCTCCGCCGCTGCTGCTGCTGCTGCCGCCATGGTGAGCGCGTACCCGGCCCGAGAAAAACATGCATCAGGCCGAGACACACAACGACGACGACGAGATGCTCCTCCCGTTGACCTGCCACTCCATGCTCTTTAACGACTAGACCCACCCCCGGCCGCCCGGCAGGGCAGGGCTGGGGGGTGGGGGATCCGGCCGAGCGGAACGTCTCCGAGCCTGGCCCACCGCCCGAGGCGGACAACGGCTCTCCCCCAATCCTGCCAAATATCTCAGCGGGACGAGGGAGAGGGGACGAGGGACGAGGGACGAGGTTCGGGCTGCGGAGGGGAGGGGAGGGAAGGGAACGTCCGTTGCGCCCTCTTGGGACGGGACTGAGGCGTGTGCCCCACCGCAGGGAGACGGACAGACGTTCAGATGTTCCCAACAGAAATTCTCGAGCCCAGGCGCACAATGGCTGGGCTGGTCAGGCAGACACCCTTCCTTCCTCTACGACGGAGCACGACAGGAGGACACGGAAAGTTCGATTCGATCGATCGATCTACATGCGGCCCGTGTGCACCGAGGGTGGAATTTGAGAGCTCCGAGGACATGCGGTCGGTCGGTTCTTCTGCATGAGCGCAGTCGAGGGCTGAATGATGTCTGTGAAGAAGAACGAGCTTCGATGTCTCACTTTTCGAATGCGTCCATCGTTCATCATGGATCTGACGAATTCCACCTTGCGAAAATATCTTGCACCAATTCATGGTTGTCCGAACGACCACGAGCGACCGAGCAGCGAAAGCTCTGGGATCATGATTGTGTCTTCGAAGCCTACCGATTGTGAATATAGATAGCTTTAGCCTCTAGTCCACCATCTCTGCTTCTGATCACAGGACAGGGCATCTCTGTTTCTACATCGCTCAGGTCCGGAAAGGAAGTCTTCCTCTGTCCTCATGAGATTATGAGAGACAACTTGTAAGCTAGAGTTTGTGTCCAGATTGGGAATCATGATGGAATTCGGACTCGGAGCTAGCTCTGCTGGGGTGCTGAGCAGATTTTCATGTCGAAGACCTGAGGAGGCCATGATTTCACTTCTAGTAAGTAGGATGACTGCTGTGAGTGGGCTTCTACAACTCCTCCAGATGTCACTTGCCACTTGTGGAGGTCGGATCTGCTCCGAGCTGCAAGAACCTGTCACTCCAGCAACGATGTGGTTGGTTCGATCCCGAGCATCTCGTCAGTTCGTCGATTCTGAAAGCCTCTTTTTGCTTTGCTTTCTCTCCCGAATCACTTCTGGCCGTAGGCTCCACCTTCTCCAGGACGCTTTGTTGAAGTTTCGCCAGAGGGGAACAGGAGGAAGAGGAGTCTCTCTCTAGCCAACATCGAGAGGCCTAAAGCCCTCGGGCCTATTAGGCTCTCGAGGGCGAGGATCTCAGCCAAACCTGAAGGTGTTCCTGAATCCTGATGATCGTAACCTTTCTGTGCCAGTAGTATTATCAAGAGCTGCTGGCCTCGGATACTCCCGGTCGGTCGCTTGTGGGTCGTCCGTCCTCTGACTCCTCGAATGCCACGGTGGGAGGCTTTGCCAATCCCGTGTCCTTGCTTACTTCCTTGCAGCAATTGGCTCGATCCCACAATACGTGCTCGTATCTAACGCTTTGGTTTCGGAGCTAATCCGGTCGTTAGTCAATATTTGGATGACTCCCTTTGACCTCTCGTCGCTTCTTGTCTTTGGAATATTTCGTGATTAGACTGTATACTCATCTGCTGCCGTCCTTGCAGAGTCCAAAATATTAATCTTAAGGCTTTTCTCGTCTCGTGGGCCAGCAGTAAATACACGCTTTGCTCTGGTGTTGTTGGAGGGTATATTCGAGAGCACGATGAAGGCGGTTGGATAAGGTTGAGCTCACGACTGCATACCGTAAAAGGAGGAATCTGCAGCAAAAGCCAAGAGCAATCTAACGAGTGTCCATAGCGCGTTCGACATGGTAGCCCTTGCATGCGTGCGTGCCATTCATCATATGAGATAAAATACCATTATGCAATCCGGACACAAATCCTGTTGGGCCTCGTCACGAGTCTCACGAACAGCGCCCCTTGGAGCCCAGAGCATTCTCAAGAGCTGCCATAGGCATAATAAGCTTAAGCCGCGGATGGTCTCGAAGGATCGATGACTAGAATCCTTCCTATCGCCCCTGCGACGTAGGAGGCGGGTGAGGTTCGATGCATGCAGGAAACCTCGCAATAAAATCAGACTCGATTCCTCTAATTTCATCGGCATAACACAAATGCTCCGGAGCAGCAAACCGTGAGCTCGAGAGATTGTCACAGTCGAGATTCCTAGACTCATTTGCGCGAATATTGAGCCATGGTTGAAACCTCAGTTGTAATTTGCAAGCAGCGAGGGACAGGATTTGCACCTACTGCGTGTTGCTCATCTTAGCAAAAATTAGCTCTCGTTGACACGTACGGTGACTTCGTGCCCAAGCGTTCCCGGACATGGGAGCTCGAAAAAGTGTAATAAATAACTCTGGCACAATTCTTCCTGCACGGACTCAGTTGAAGTGCTCCAAAGACTTTGGATCTGTACCTTCCAGGAGCGAGCACATGGAGTTCTTCAGTTCCTCGGACATTTAAAAAGGCACTGTTATCTACAAATCGAACACTTCGTCCCTCCCTCAGGTCCACTCTCATGATCTGCAAACACTTTCAAACGTCGTAATGGCTATATTAAGGGATACGGTCTTCATTAAAAGGTGGTTCATTGGATGGCGATTTTGCTGACATACTGTTTCTTTGTCGAAGAGAATCAAGTAGGACTATAAAGGTACGTATATCACATCCCCAAAAAAAATAGGCATTGTGCCCAGATTTCTTATTTCGATCGGCATAATCATTTGTATTCTGGTAGCCTTGGGGGAAACGGGTGTACTGCTGTGGATGGGCATGAGATTGGGAATTCGGTTTCGGTTTGCTAAGGTCCAAAGAACAGAGCAACCATAAGGTTTGGAACTAGACATCATTATCCACCGAGAGATAAGGATAAATCGATCTATGTGCGAGTATTGAACTGGAAGCAAGACCTGGATTCATCTCCGCCAGGTATATTATCGGCTCTGTTTTTCGAATTTTTGCAGGCGGTGCTGGTGACTTATCACGTGAAATGGTACTAACAAAGTTACTTCGTGTTCTTTTTCTTCAGATCCGAGTGGCTGAGCATGATCATGTCACCTAGAAGCCCAAATACTAGGAGAGTACTTGATAAAGTAACCAAAAGTACCGGAAGACTCCATATATATCTGCAAGTAAATTAGTATATAGTATCGTAAATAAATCCAAGAGAAACACAATGAAAAAGGGGTACCTTCTCTTATGAATAATAATTGGTAACACGATAAGGATCTATCCAATAAACATAAACTAAAGAGATCTATGTGTACGTATTTGTGTGCGCGTTTTGGGTTGTGCATAGTGGATATTTTAGTTGAGTTCCAGCACATGGAACATGAATTCATTTAGTTCAAATATTTTACATTAACATTAGCATCCTCAGTTTATCACTTCGCGTGATTTAGCTAATATGGATTTTACCAATAACAACAAAAATGGATTGCCCCTTCCTTCCTTGTAAGATAGTGTTTTGTCACCCCTTAGTTTTCTATACCATCCCTCTGAAGATTCTGACATGAAGATCCACACGGGATGCAATTATGTGAGCAGACAGTTTCTTAGATGATTGCAGAGGTAAACCTCCCCATAGTGACATATATTGGTACTTAGGTTTTACGTCACTATTGCGAGGTGTCACTCATAAGAGTAAAATGCGTATAATCTCCTTTTAGTAACATACATTGGTGTTAACATTGGATGTCATTGTTGGGAGGTGCATAATTTTAATATAAACTCCTAATAGTAACATACATTGGTGTTGGGGTTAGATGTCACTATTGGGAGTTGTCAATTATATATAAAAAAAATTCATAGATTTCTTATCGTGCATTTTATCAATCCTAAGACTTACTATAAATGTGTTGTTTGGTTTCAAAATGGCTTTCATTTGCAAATCTGTATTGTTAACATGGACATTATAACTACATTTAAATTTAGATTAATACATACAAATCTGAGTGAAACAATTAAAGATAATATATGTAGCAAATCATGGTTTTAGGGTTAAACCCTAAACCCTTACTTAAATCCAGAAAGTGTGAATTGTTGAGATATACCTTTAAATCAACTTATGCCACATTTTTTTGGTCTCATAACTATGTATTGTGATAATGATATAAATTTTTACTTTCAAATTACATTTGAAACTGTCACTACTGTATAGTATCATGTCATTATGGGGAATAGTGACGTAACATTCTTATTGAACAGATTTACAAATTAGAAACTAATGGGTATAGGACTTTAAGTCACTAATGAGAGTATATCACTCATAAGAAATGACACTATTGGAGATTAAACTCTTTATACGTGTTATAAGAACCTGATCTCCTGTTTGTTTGACCTTGGATTAGCCATGTGGGTTAAGAAACCTACTAACGCATATGGTTTAGTGGATTAGCATGAGACGAGATTGCAACAAATTATCTTTACAACACTTCTCTAGTGAAAGCTGACTAGGGTAGCCAAAGGAATACATAAAAGGATGAGAAAAGCCCACAGAGCCTTTAGAAGTAGCAAAATAAAGGAGAGACCAAAGACTAGGTCCCTATAGTATCGTGATAATAATTATATCCCAGAACCCAAGTGATATTCAGACTATTTATATCAAATAACAATGATTACGCATCATCACGTAGATGAAAGAGTGAATAATAAATAATACGATCATCAGCTAAGATTGTTGGCACACATATGGAATTTTACATAGTCATACATTTGTTAAATCAGAAGTATCAAGGGGATAGTTGGACGATCACTAAAGTTGAGGACTCGCTATCGGTCCGTCAGGCAACGGTTGTCCGAACCCGCGCTGCTAGACTCGACCATGAGACCACGTGCCACCCAACGCGTCATCCCACACATGCACACGGGGGGAGCTGGGAACGTTACTCCGTCTTGTCATCGGCTTGGGCTTGCGTCCCGGATGGACATCGTCATCGTCATCGTTACCGGACGACCAGAGCTCGACCGATGGCAGTGCAATGAAACGTATCGGGAAGAGTATGGTGACGTGATTTCTCAGACTGTGCGTGTTTGACCGATTCGGTCGTCAGTCGGCGATTTCTAGCCAACCTGTGCAGTTACTGTGAACATCGATCTGGTGTGAGAATGTTTGCGCATCCTTCGAGGGCAGCAGAAAGGAGAACAAGATGAAAGGAGAAGCAGACTTAGGCTATTTTTATTAGGCAATTACGTAAGTGAAATTTGTTCCCGGCCACGACATACGCTGCTGCACACAGATCAGATGTGTGCTAGAAATGCTTCCCTGCATGCTCGAAATATCCTCTCGTCGTCCCTCCATCCCTCCAAGCACGCACGACTCCCCATTTTTGACATCTAGGCTATAAGTAGTCTTGATTGAGACTGACCCATTTGTCTAGCAACACTTAGTACTAGTAAAGTCGCAAGAGGATTACTGCGTGATTTTCTTTCAGATCCCTGAGAAAACATGTGTACTGGATCACTTGTCGTAAACATTTACTCCCAAACCCGCAAAAGGTATACCTTGATGTTTGAAGAGAGAGTGCTCAGGAGTTTCAAGTAGTCTATGAGATCCATAAATGGTGCCTCATGGCATGTACATTTGTCAATATGTCATTTGTAAAGTCACCTTTACGGCATGGTTCTTAGGTTTTTCCGGAACTTTTGGAAAACTGGAAGGAGAATAAACTGCTCACTGCTTTTGCTTGTGAATGCAGTGACTCTCATAAATATTGCAGGAAAATACTACTGGTGTGGGTACTTAGGAAAACATCCACTCACGTAAAAAAAAAATTATTTCATTGGAAACTTTCTTTCTCCACAGCTCAATAAGAATTTCATGCTTAATGAAATAAGACATTTATCTTCGGAAATTTCAATTTCAAAATTTTAATAAGATTTTAATTATTCGAGATAAAGTTTTAGGTTGGAAAAAATTGTGTAAATTGCTAGCAACGAAATTCTCTAATTCATCCTAAAACAAACTAGATTACAGGGCTTCCTCGTGTCACGAATGCAGGACCCTAAAATCTCCATCCCGATTGTAATACAGTCTTGATATTGAGATGACAATAAGACATGAAGTAAAATGAACCTCTTCACTTCTAGTCTCTCACTTTATACAATCAGGAGTCAGGGCCTTCATAAGAGCATAATAGACGTATTCAGTCCCTAATTTTCTGCAGGAAAGCTTGTCAGATCCACTTCCCTGCATCGATGTTTCCGGACACAATGAGCCTACTCCAGAATTTGAACTCTGGAGTTCACTTGACTGTCCGAAACATGGTGAATTCACAATGACAGTCCTCCTATGCATCGAAACTGCCCCTGTTTCAGCAGCATCCACCATCCTAAATATTCATATGATCAACCTATTAAACTTTATTGAAACTCAAAATTCTTCGCCAGGAAGTTCATCTTCACATTCCCTAACTAACCCTCACCACAACCCACAAAGGGATCGTTGGACAGCTAAACATTCCCATGTGGTGTGAAGTCAATGATATTTTACAGCGGATGTTTCGTCTGAAGTTTGTGCATGTTAGTTCATGCCTTGAAAACTGCTCAAAAAAACAGCCGGTTCTACAGACTAGCCCTGGAATCTCGAGCACCAAACTCCGAAAAAAACGTGATACTCAAGGCAAAGGTGGCCTGAACAATCTATTGGCAGAAGAGACTTAATTGGTCCGAGAAAGACCAGTGTAGATTAAAAAAAAAGAACCAACTGGAGCAATGAAAGGAGCGAAGAGAATGTAATCATATGTTGAAGTTGGGAGTATCAAGCAGTTGCTTCAGGACAGCTTCAGCTCTTTTCTCGACTTTGTTCAAAGCCCACTCATGCTGTACGAGATCAAGACCATCCTTCTCTGCACCAAGAGTCTGGAAGTTCACAAAATCGAAAAAAAGCGTACGTCAGGAATGAGAAGCCTGCTTAGAGATAGTAACGGCGCGATACTTCAAATACCGAGCTCATGTCACAGTACATACGCTCATTCTTTCCGTGCTGAAAAGACCTTAACCAAATATAACTCAGGGCACACGATACCTTGGCTGGGTCTGCACCAAACCCTCCCATTTGCATTGCCATTTGTGTCTGCATCAACTTTTGAGCGTCATCTGTGGCTGTAAGGTAAACGATAATGTGGAGTTAGAGTAAGCAAATCAACCGGCATTATTTGAACCAAACTAAGCGGCATACGATACAAATTGACTTTCTTGTGTCCATAATGCGAGAAGACCCACCATTCTCTTCACCAAGTATTAAGCTGAAAAGGCCTCTCAAGCCAAAGAGATTCAAGAAGTACCTGCAAGACAAAGTAAGACCATAATTAGAGCCCGCTCTTCGACTGGAAACTGGAGTGGTACTGATAAGGTATACAATGCTTGAACTGGATGTACGGGCGAAAGCAGATCCTAACAAAGAGCTCCTTTCGAAGAGCTGTAGCTATTTGAAAACGATACACAAAGAGCATACATAAAATTACCAAGACCGACTGCTGACGTAGCTCACATCCACAGAACTCAGATCTATTCCGTTTTGTAGCATAGCCCTGAACCGTTGAGTCAAGGGGAAAGGAATCTTGGCTGCACATATGATTACATGTCAGTGTGAGTAAGAACAATCGCAGAAAGGTGGAGATACGAAACTGGTTTCTCACTCCTCCAAACACACAGCTCGAAAGACAAGTATAACCATCACAAACTATCTCGGTAAACTGAGGTGATGAAGTGTAGAGTCTCTGATTAATGCAAAGATCACAAAGAAGATACAAAAGCTTGAATGCACCCAAGTGATGTTTTGCATACCTGCTACAAAACCGGAGAAAAAGAAATTGACCCAGGCAAAAGTTAAGGTCTGCAAAATTCATTCGAGTAAAAGTAAATCACACATAATACCATAGGCTATACACCGTGAAGAATGAGTGAGAAAATCAGGTTCATTCGAACCAATGCTTGATTACCCATGTTTTTTCAAAGGCCGCGAAGAGGTCCGACTCTCAAAATTAAACCGACAAATACAGATGTAACATCCGGCCTTCTGCATTATCACAAACTCTTCAAGCACACTTGCATCATTACCTGGGGAATGATCATCGAGAGATTCTTCTTCATCATGTCCATGGCCATATTGGGATCTGTGAACATTTGAGCCTGCATATTGTTACCTTGTCCTTTAGGTACGAACAACAAACCATTTTCCTGCATCCATCACCGACGACGAAATGAGATTTCATCGTAGTTTCAGTATTCTTCACATTCATCAGATAAATCTTAAGATAGTAAGACGATTACCCACCTCATTGTTATAGTATACTTTCCTAGCACGGAATGACTTAGCAGGGATAAGGTTTGCTGCGGCTCGCAAGTACCTCGCTCTTAACACAACTTGCCTGCAAACAATTTGAGGAATGTATGATCAGCTTCACCAAATTCACCCATGGACATGACAAGTTCTTGAAGTCCTTCTAAAAGACAAAACTCAATTTTGATGTATTAAAAGCTCTAGATCTCATCAGATGCTCATCATCTCTATCGGAGAAAGAAAAGATTATAATCGAAGAAAATCCCTGCACGTTAGTGGAAAAACCTGTAGCCCTTGTCATTAATTCTGAAGATGACTTGCATAATCGACTCAACTTCACTATCTAGTTTCCTTTCAGCTCTACTGTGAGCTTCATTTCAATTGCACCTTCAGCGCATGGCCGCAACTGTAAGTAAATTCCGAATTAAATTACACAGAAAGCCCTGAGGGTATAGAGTGTGGGGTAACCCTAATTCTGCGAAACAGAGTAATTTGATAAATTCCATCGTTCTAGGAACAAACGGTACTTAAGGATGCGTCCAATGCGAAGAATTTTTTCATCGAAAAGGCGACCGATCCATCCCACTTGATATCAGAACGCACGGCATCTACGGAGAAGAGAAAATTACCCTTCTTTCACTGCCTTAATATCAGGATTTTGGGACGATCGCAGAAGTTTAGTGACGAAATGGCGCAGAACACCAATCAAAACCATCACCACCGAGAGCGGGACAAGAACCCAGTCCCGGATCTGCGTATCGAGCATCAGATCGTTCGACATTTTGATGCGCCTCTGCTGTCTCCGGGCGCAAGCCACGACACGAAATTTTGCTCCGAAGCTCGACGAGCAATTCCACTTCGCACACTCCTCTCCACTCCCTGCGTCTCGGCCCCTTTGTCCAGACCGCGAGAGCGTCCGTGGTCACTGAGAAGTACCTTCTCTAGTAACTACGTCAGTGGTATGACGCAGTAATCAATCAGCATGGTTAACGCAATATATCTATTTATCAATATATCAATATTTTATTATATATATATCTAATTACTTATTTATTTCATTATCACATACCATTGTCTACTTTACTTCTTTAATTGTTGTAATTTAGTGGCATGTACAGTTATATCACCAAAAGGACCTTGCTTCATTTGCTTGGAATCATTTCTCGCCTAACGCAATTTCCTGTCATGTGATTGATACGCATTGTATCTAATGTATTTACAAAATAGAGCAAATATTTCTTACGAGCTATGTATATGGTTACAATTAAACACGTATTGAAAAATTCTGAATATGAATCGAAATAGAATCGTACAAGTGATGAAATTTATAAGAATCTACTATCGTAACCTAGTAAAAAATGTATATATAAAGAGACACATACATAAATATGTGAGTTAAGGGGTTGTAGTGTATAATATTTTGTGATTTTGTTGTAAACCACATCTTCAACACAGTATAGGTGTTGTTACAAATTTAATTTTAAATTACATCTTGCAGATATATGTATGGATTTGCTATTACTTGACATGACATTTTAAAAACTTGCTTATGTTTCACGAGAAGTAAAAAGTATTAGTTAAAGATCATTTTTGTCATGAATCTCAATCCTCACAACTGTTTGTTAGAATCTGCTATCACTTGTCTTTACTTCATTCCTTTATCACTTATTATAATGTGAGATTTCAACGAATTTGGTTTGAAGATTTGAAAACTTACATTCATACTTAAATTTATTCATGATATATGTTTCGATTATAATTCATTATTCTTGTTGCTTTAAAATTAAATGAAATACTCATAGTGTAATCATATACTTTCAATTAAGATTTTGTAACAAAACATTGTAATATTATTGATAGTTCAAATCCCCCAATAAAATAATTGATGAATTTTTTAATCTTAAATTGCAAAGATTAAAAAATGAAGATTAGAACATTAACTGCACTTTGAATTTATCTTAAGTCGGATATGGAACTGATATCAAGATACTCCTCTTATTAATATTGCTAATGGCGCACAGGAGAATAAGGGTAGTGGTAACAAGATATGAAAAAAAAATTAAAAAAATCAACTGGAACATCATGCCCTGCTAGTGATATCTCTAATAATAGCTTCATCAACTAACGCATGTCAAGTTCAAAAATCTGAAGATTCTGGATCTTCAATGAGCTAACGCCTTTGATAAGATGCATATGTTGAAGAAACATGTAAAACGGAACGTATTGATGGAGGTCAACGATATGGGAGCCACCAAAGAAATGCTTACATACAATATATGGTGCTATATGCTTAGGCATTAGACAAGCAAGATCAAATTTATGCCATGCGACAGTTGATGGCATCAGGGAAGATATTCCGCAGAGAGAAGGAAAATTAGAACAATCTAAGTATGATTTGTGACGAGCTAATTGATGTGATGTATGTGGAGGAGGACGTATGTACGATTGAGATGAGATGATTGGAGGAGTTGCGAGAGACGATAGACAATCCTAGATATACTTTGATGCGCCTGAAAGAGCAATTTAAAAAAATCTCTTGCACACTATTCGCCAAAGAATTCCCATGAATACACGCGAACTTAATTACGCAGATAACTTACAAATGGGAGTAAACTAAATTATTTGGAAAACCAGCTCAACATAGATGGTATTGTTGCAGCGCAGCAAATCCGTAAAAGTTCATCACGAATTAGTTCGGACTAGGATAGCAAATGTTTTTTTCTTTGATTTACTAATTTATATTTATATATGGACTGCACATGAATTGTCATGATGGAAAAAGAAGAATGTGCTGCTGAATTGTTGTAAATTTTTCCACGACAGATCTGCTGCTTGAAAAGAGACATATCCTTTTGTATGTGGTTGAATCTGCCCAATAGCTCGTTGAAAAGCGCAATGGGTTGGCCACGTGATACGTAGCTTGTACGGAGGAGATCGTCATCACTAAATAATGAACTACTTTTTTAAGTCGTTCAGTTGTGTGTGTCTTCTTGTAAATTTAATGAGCTTGTAATTGACTATATTCCAATGTTGATGGAACTTCTATATGATGATTTACAAAGTAATTGAAGATGTCTAAATTGATTCGTTGTTTTCATAGGTAGATTACTAGCTTCCTTTGGAAAAAATTGATCTTGGCAAATTCTTTGGTACATAACTCTATTACGATACATTTTATAAATAAACCATTCATGAGATTGTGACACAAAATATTAAAACATCAATCTAGCTTAAGATAATACTACATGGTAAGATAGGATATTAAATCTAATATTCTTGACGGTGTGTGCTTATGGAGAGAGGCAAAGAAAATAAAAGAGGCTTAAAACGAAGCCCCATCGGATTCATCTTCATAATTTAATAAGAAAGTTCAATGTGTTTCATTATATACACCTGATAACAAATATATAGTGGTAACTATATGTTGTTTGATAAAGAGAATACTTGGGATCGTGTGAATGTAAGAAATAACATGACAATATCTACTATAGTTGCTATATCTGCTGCTGCAACCGTAGTTAATTAACATGTGATGATGATGATGGGAGTGTATCCATTTTCCCAATAGATGTCATTCAGGATACCTCATTTAAGTGTTAATATTCAGCTCAAGTTGGAATTGAAATGGTTTCTGATGAAGAAGATTAATCTGCTGTCAAATTTGAATGATTTTTTTAATTTGAATAACGCATGTCTACATTCGGAGTATGCTATAACATGAAAACTCTAAAAAAATTGTTCAAACCGGTGACTTCAAAAGAGATGAATCTTAGAATATCATTGATAAAAAAAATGTTGAGATTGAGTCTTGTTGGGTAGGTTACTCACGTCTCAATTCAGAATGAATTAATCACGAAATGATCTTTCTTCATATGCTGAGGCGACACATGAACATACGCAAAAATTGAAACGATCTAGACAATAAGAACGAAAATCTGTTCAAAAAGGATCACACTTTGGAAATGAATCACCCCCCATATGAAAGAGGCATTATTGAGTGAAATTTGATCTGCAAGGTGATAAGAGGACTCACATGAGAGAATAGAATACGTGAGCTAGGTTGGTGGTGAAGGATACAACCAAAACTAGCCATTTATCACCATGAAGTTTTATCTTTAATAACAAGGTATGTCGCAATATTTTAGCTGTAGCAGCTGAAAATGAAGAGGAAGTAGAGAGATTAAATTTGAAAACAAATTTATCGGAAAGAGATTCAGAAAATCAGATTTACATAAATTTACTGGATGGCTACCTTGCATCCGATGGAATAGATATTTTAAGTTGTAAGTAGGGTCAGGCAGCCATAGGCCAACTTATTCTCAAGTCTGAGCCACGAACTGCTAAAACCCTTGTCAAATTACACATCTTGCCAGTGATCACAGTCTCAATTATTGGCACACATTTGAGTGCCGGATTGTTGATCTACACTAATCACTCTGGATGCATCAGATTGATAATTGGTTTGGATTCAAGTGTGGGGACTCAATATGTAGAATCGTATCTGAGTGTTACTTGCCATCGCAGTAACACCAAGATGAAGTGGGGTAGTGGGGGGATCGCAGCAAGCTAACACATGGCTAATCCAGCAATGTCATTAGGAGCATAAGTCAGTACTAGTGGTGGTGATGCATCCAGAATCGATCCTGATCGACTGCTGGCTGACACGGAGATTCAGAATATCAAAACAGTGTTTGCCGACAACGAAGAAGGAGCTGGGGATCTCTGAGCTGAGCAGACAAGTTGATTCTCGTGGGATTCTCTGGGTTCATCGGCAGAACCGTCAAATCCCATAGTTAACGACCTCCTGACCTGTGAGGACTAGAGTGGGAAGCTTTGGAGACAGAGCTGCTCAGTGGAAGCTGCTGTCTCTCTCAGTGGATGTCCCTTGCCTGTACTGCAATGTGACCCAGATACATGGTTTGGTGTTCAAGGCAGTGGACACTTGCTCATACGAGGCCTCTGGTATCGTCTGTGTATGTATCCATGAAACCTTCCAGAAGGGACGTAAGGAGATGATGTTCCGGCCACGCTATCTCTCCCATCTGACGGCGTCGGCGTCAGCTGCAAGGCTTTCGCTGTCGTCGTCGGCGTCTGCTGCAAGTTGTTTGCTGTTGTGTAGATTATTAAGTAAGCCTGAGAGTGTACATGATTCGCGTAAGTAGACAACTATCACCGCTAGACTTGTGACAGAGTGAGTCTCTGGTCAGGCAATTCGTGGACGAGTCATTTGTACTCTTCTGGGCCTGACACATGATTACTGTGGATTAAGATTAACATCAAGGAACAGAATTAGCTCTCAGAATTGAAAGTTGCTCAGAGGCTTGCTATGTCGGTAGCCAATTATCACCCATCGTATGGTCGTGTCACTGTGTCAATGATCATCCACAATCATCATCTGGTATTAGAGAAGACACGCGTGCTGAAAAAATGCTTTTAACCCTGATTCGATCAGAGTGCCATATTAAAGTAATAGTTTTGTATTAGGCCTGGCGGATTTCTTTATTCATCAGAGACCAGCCCCAAGGGTTTCCGCCTTCCTCCGCTCCGACTGCTGTGGACTTAGCAGAGATTTCAGATATAATAGGCTGAAAAGTCTTACCAGTGTTCAAATCGCGCTCTTGAGGCCCCGAGAGGGTTGCAGCTGAGTGTCACGACTCCTATTCCGCGAAGGAAGAACTCGTGATGGCACGAAGCGTTCTGCCGTCCGTGTTTTTGCTCGTGATTCTCTCCAGAAGCTTCAATCGTGTAGCTGCCAGTCGACAGCTCACTGAAGCGGAAGAAGTCGAGGAAGCTCGCTCTGAGAAATCCATACGCATTATGTTCGACGATTGGATGCTCAAACAGTCCAAGACCTACACTCAGTCCGCCGAGATGAGTACCCGGTTCTCAATTTTCAAAGCGAATCTGAGGCGCATTGATGAGCATAACAGCCAGCCTTCGTCGTACAAACTGGGATTGACGACATTCGCCGATCTTACTCCAGACGAGTTCAGGTCGATTTATCTAAAGAACAAATTTCGACAAAATGTGAGAACTAGTCAGGCACCGACCTTCACGTATGGACATGTAGACTCTTTGCCTACGGAGGTAGATTGGAGGAAGGAAGGAGCAGTAACAGGTGTTAAATCCCAAGGTCAATGTGGTAAGATCTGCACGCACTCTCGTTCGACTTCTGTGGCTGCCTGTTTGGGCCATGATTTGCTAATGGTTTGAAAGTGACATGAAACTGTTCGTTCTACCAGATTATTCCTCGATCGGAGGTCCTGGGCCGGTTTCTAGTCTTGCGTCGAGAGATGAATTGACCACGGATCCTGTTTTGCAGGGAGCTGCTGGGCGTTCTCGACCATCGGAGCTGTCGAAAGCTTGAACCAGATCAAAACAGGCAATCTGATTTCTCTCTCAGAACAAGAACTGGTGGACTGTGATGTCACTTTGAATACTTATGGCTGCGCAGGAGGTTTCATGGACTACGGGTTTGAGTATATAGTGCAAAATGGAGGTGTGGATACTGATATGGACTACCCTTACATTGCTGCCGAGGACTTCTGCAACAGTCACAAGGTGCACCCTCGAGCTCATTCTGACATTCATCATGCACAAGTGCCTTGCAGCCATCGTTCACAAACTTTTGTCGAATTTTGAAGGCTCCCTGGAGTGACAGATAACATGTATCTAATACGTGCCAATCGGCTTTTCTCTATTGTGAAGGAGACGAGAGTTGCTGCATCAATAAATGCTTACGAGCAGGTAACAATCAACAGCGAGAAAGACCTACAAAAGGCAGTGGCACATCAACCCGTCAGCGTGTCCATTCATGCAAGCTCCGAGGATTTTCTACTATACGAAAGCGTAACATCCTCAACCCGATGAAACCTGTCAAAGCCTCTCGTTCTCATCTACTTTCCAGCGGCGTTGTGCAGCCAGACTTCTAACTCACAGCCAAGTTTCTAGACAAATAACACATCGCAAAATTGTGTATATGCAGGGAATCTACAACACCACCTGTGGCACAGAACTAGACCACGGTGTTCTCGTTGTGGGCTACGGAACGGACCAAGGGCAAGAGTACTGGCTCGTGAAGAACTCATGGGGGGAGAGCTGGGGTGAAAGTGGCTACATTCGATTGCAGCGCAACGTCCAGGCACCTGAGGGAATGTGTGGCATTGCAATGGCCGCCTTGTACCCGACCAAGACGGGCAACATCCCAGGCTCAAATTGAGACCATCATGGTCGGTCCAAATAGTTCGATCCTCGTTACATGTGTACATGTCCGTAGTCGTCTGTTCAGGGTTTGTACATAGTGTTCACAGTCCGAAGGTGCATCTCAATGTGCACAAGTGTAAAATTATCGTTCCAGTAGGTGAGATTATCTAGAATTCGCACGGGACTGTACTGAGCCCGCTCCGTTACTCATGTTGTCAAGCTAGACAGATGAGAAAGATTTTGACACGATCGATGTAGTAAAATTACCCGTATTCGTCTCATAGCGGCGATTTTGTTCTCAAGCTGTTGTTGACCGCCTCGAGAAGGCAGATGATCTCCACATGCAATGCAGACGCTGAAATATCTTCTGGTCACCACTTCCTCTGATTGACTCTGCGCATTATTATTCACCTTATTGGAACGGATTGAGCTCGATCTGGATTCTCACAGATCCGAGGACTGCACTGAGCTGAGCTTCGTGAAGATCCACACTGCACCTCCTCGCACCGATCTCATAAAAATTTGCCTGCACTTCGAGACTTCTCTCGGGGCTGGAAACAGCTCCGAGGAGCTCGAGCCAGAGGGATTCATCACCTTCCGAGTGAGTCCACTTCGCATTCTCTTCGCTGCATGGATGTTTGAACCACGAGTCCCCATCGATGGCGCATCCCGTGCTCTCCGATCTCGATCTCCATCGTCTGAATTCTGCAGTCGGCGGCGCAGTCTCGATTCTCCATTTTGCCAAATGCAGATGCGTCCAATATGGGCACGTCTCAGATCGCATCCCGACCGTCGATCTTCGACGTCGGTGCAAATTTCTTCTGACGGATCATTCGCCTTTATTCCGTCACGGAATAGGTTCTCATTATAAACCCAGTTGATAACGGCTGTATGTGTCCTTCCTTTTCTCGTACAATTGTAATTTATGTTTTGCTTTTGAGTAGAAGGGAATGTCGGCTGTTTATGAATATTGTAGACTAATCGATGATTAACAAAAAAGATCATTTAAAAATCATAACGATCCGAACTCGTAAGACTATAAACCAGGGGTGACGCAGGACGATTGTGTGTATACTTAATGATAAAATCGATATCATAATGATGCTATAAAAATTATTTAATATTGAAAATCATTAAACAGATGAATAGGTTTTGATAAATAATAATGAATCTAATAATAAAGTCACTATCATCATGATGTTATGAAAAGTATCTATCATGAAAAAATTTTCAAGTGGTTTAATAAGTCTTGATGAATCTATAGTATGTATGACACAAACTCAATTAAAATAGAATAAAACGTTTTCTTTCCTTGTACGTTAGTCTCTCTCACTATTTCATGTTGAATTTGGAACACAGTTTTCTATGACAATGTCTCAAATAGTCTACACAAAACGATAAAAACAATAAAACACAATGTTAGTCTCCACTGAGAATGTATCTCTAATTTTCTTCTTGATCAGAAAGTGTACAATTTTCTTTTACAATGACTCTAAACACTATCATTTAATTGAATCACTACTCAATACAAGATTAAATAATAAGTAAATTTCTCCTTGAAAAAAATTCGCTTTCATCATGAATTTAGTTATGTTTATCACTTGTTAAAAAGATTTGAAATTTAAAGCAATAGTAGAAGATAATGTTCAAATTAGTCAACTCTTTACATATCTTATGTTAGGAAGTCTTGCATGTAGCGCCAAAAAATTTTAGTTGATGATGTTTTCTAGATAAATCACATGTAAAAAATAAATCTAAAACTTTAACATCACAAACTTAATAATACTTTTATATAAAATTTGGTATGTCAAAAATGAAAAATGGTAAAAGTTAATCATTTTAGCATCAATTTTTTCTTGATATCATATGTATTTATTATGATAATTTACTTTTAATGAACAATACGTATTTTTGTTGCCATTAAAAAAATACAGTTTATATGACATATTGAAATCCATAAGGTGGTTTAATTCAGTCCAAAACATAGCTAGCTAGGTTTTTTTAGTAACATAGTTCATGATAGTAGTATTGTTTGGTGTAATCCTTGTGGGTGACAACCATGGTTACGCGCTATCGCTGACGGTGTATTGAAGACATCGGATTTTTGGCTCCTAGTGTTTACTAACTACTTAAGGTGGCGAGCAAGGTCTCATCGCCTTGAACATTCTAAAGGTTCTCGTACAATACTAGGAAAGTAACTTTACTGACTGTCTCTACAGGTATCGCGTGACAAGTGATATCAAAGTAAAATGATAGATGTAACGCTCGTGGAATGAATAAGAGTTTGAGTTTGCAAACAGAGTACAATGAGCTGCACAACGCCGTGCACAAGATAGATGTCTTGGACAACGTATGAGATATATGCATCTGCGGTCCCGCCCATAGGCATCTTTGATCACAAATCGTTGACTCTATACCTCAATCCGCAGGCTCTCTGCCTACACCTCGGGCTTCTTTTTCTTGGACGCACTTTGTTACCTGATTTCTAAAATAAAAAAATCCGATTGCGTGAACTCTAATTTTTGGCTTGTGTTCATCAAATCGCCTCGAATCAATTGCCATATGGTGTGGGTTACTTCGGATACAGAGTTAAACCTCCCAATAGTGTCACCTCTTATGAGTGACATCCTCTCGTTAGTGACGTAAAATCCCAGATCCATTAGTTTCTAACTTGTAAATCTGCTCAATAAGAACGGTACGTCACTATTCCCATTAGTGACATGATACTATACAATAGTGACAATTTCAAATGTAATTTCAGAGTAAAAATTCCTATCATTATCACAATACATAGTTATGAGACTAAAAAAATATGGCATAAGTATATTTAAAGTTATATCTCAACAATTCACATTTTCTGGATTTAAGTAAGGGTTTAGGGTTTAACCCTAAATCCCTAATTTGCTACACATATTATCATTAATTGTTTCACTCAGATTTGTGTGTATTAATCTAAATTTAAATATAATTATAATGTCCATGTTAAGAATACAGATGTGCAAATGAAGGCCATTTTGAAACCAAACAACACATTTATATAAAGTCTTAGGGTTGATGCACTGCACGATAAAAAATCTATGAACTTTTTTTTATATAATTGACATCTCCCAATAGTGACATCTAACACCAAAACCTATGTATGTTACTATTAGGAGGTTATATTAAAATTATGCACCTCTCAACAATGATATCTAATGTTAACACCAATGTATGTTACTATTAGGAGGTTATACGAACTTTACTCTTGTGAGTGACAACTCGCAATAGTGACGGAAAACCTAAGTACCAATATATGTCACTATTGGGAGGTTTAACTCTGTATCGCTTGTGGTTCATTGACACGATCATTTCCTGCACCCGTTTGATAATCAGTCAGCACATTTCTGTCGAAGATTCTCGACAAGGCGCTCTCAATTGCAAAGGTTCCTCCTGAAAAAGAAGACCACGAGTATCTTTTTGGTCTCTAGTTTCGCCAGGAATAGACGAAAGTGTTCCACCTGCTCATCGTAGCTCATTTCCTCGGAATAGATTTCATCCACAGGCTTGGAACTCAATTTCGTTGTGATGTCCACATACTTGAACAGTATACTGTTTATGATGTAATTATTTCTGTAGAAAAACTCTCGTGCGATGTTGTACACTTCACAAATTATCCTTCATTACAAGGTAAACAAAGACCGCACTGGCACTTCCTCTGAAAAAAATCTCACTAAAATAAATCACAAGGTCATTCCCTTGATTTGATGCTGCAGACTACTATTGGACAACTTTCAACGCCAACTTGTCCATAAACAGAAAAGCCGGCACCGTCCTTTGCAGTTTAGAGGAGGGGAGTGACGAAAGTCAACGACATGCAGCAAGAAATTTAGCATGTAAATAGACAGAGCTCAGAAAGGGAGAACGGAAGGTGGACAACAGATATCACACGTCTTGGTTGAAGAATACGGAGAGGAAGAAAACACAAGAACTTTCATTTTGACACATGAAAGCGCGGAAGAAGTATTATTGATCGTTGATTATATCACCTGGATAAAATTATCCTTTCAATATAACATTCCACTAACATTATATCCTTTGCTTGAAGTTTCATACTACAGAAAAGATCTACATTTCTGTTGTTGAAACATGGTATATTCCGAACACTTTCATGCAAAGTGGAAGTGAAAAGTTTGAAATATGAAATGAGCAAAGAGTGATGAAATATAGTCTGAAAAGTGTCAATAAAAAAAAATAAAAAATTGTTTACTTTATGGTTATAGCTTTAAATATTCAACATAACAGTATGATAGCTTCTAAATTGAGGGAGCAAAATATAATATAGTCAAATACAACGGATGTTGTGAAAATCTATTTTAAAAAATACTCGTGAAGTACAAATTGTGGAACATGAATCTTGAAAAGACATTGAGGACAAAATTGTCCAACTACATCAGTGATTCGAAAAAATTCCAACAAGATGTGAGTATTGTCATGCTTCATTTGCAAACTATGATTTTGAAGTAAATAAATAATTATGACAAATGTATTTTATTTTATTTTGTAGTTACGATTTCATTACAAAAAACTTACACATAGCTTGTATCTTTCCTTGAAGTTGATGAGCTTCAAGTTGAAAAATTCATGCACAACAATTCAAGATCACATCGATACATTCGTTGATTTTGTTATTAATCTTCAAAATTTTGATAATTAATTTTCACAAAACTAAAATTTTCCATCTTCTAAGTGCATTTCTTGCATTTTATCCGTCACTATCACATGTATTGTTTTATTGTGATAGGCAAACAATTCATTTATAACAAAGTTGTATAATCACATATATTAGAATTTGAAGTTGTCATTTCTTCATTTTGGTACGACACTAAATGTGATTCCACGTACGTCACATTCACAAAATCACAAGTATGATAAGTGTTTAGATCTAAACGTAGAATTTACATCTAGTAATAAATCTCAGGAGAGTAAGATGGTGATCTATTCAAAATGTGGCAAAAATGATCATGTCAATGAATTTTGTTTGAAGATCAAATATGCTGATACTTTGTTATTAAATATGACTCAAGAAATTGATCTTTAAGATTATGACTTGCTAGAAGGTATCATGATCAATTAGCTAAAGTCAAATCTCATGCATTAAACATGAACTTGTTAAAACTTAGCACTTGTGTTTATTGCTTTGATAAAAATCTCATCAACTATGTTTAGATCTAAAGTTGTGATTACATGTTGTATAAAATGATTTACAATGTAATCTTTAAAGATTGACTCTACATGTTACATTCTAAATCTACATAGATTTTCATCAACTCAAGATATTAAGTCAAAAAATTGATATCTAATCTATCCAAGTTATCAAGTTAGATCAATATAATACAGAAATTGATACTACTAGATTTCATTAAGATATATATCATATATCATGATAATTGTGTGGGGAAGGAGAAAAATACATCCAATTGAAATAAAAAAAAATCCAAGAATTTTGCTTTTGAAGAACTTTTTATAAGAAATGCTAAAAAACGTGATTTGTAACTCTCTTAAATATAGTCTATCATTTCAAAAATCGTACATATTTCTTTTTGAACTATCAAAGATATTGTTTACTTGCGGCAAAGTAGTAAACATGACATAATTGTATATATAGTTTCATATGACATGATTTTAGACTTACTGAAAATATATTTCTTGTCATGTTAATGGATTGAGTCTAAATTAGTTTTTAGTTATTCTCTTAAGTTGAATATCCATGTTGAGTTAAACTTATCATTAAGTTTCCGGATTCAAAATCGATTTGAAATCTCAAAATAGAAACTATATCAACTTCTATCTATCAACATTCAGAATCTGGGGTCTCTGCGTCTCATCATATGTTTATATCTATCATAGTCGTTAACACCCTCGAACACACTTTCAGAATTGACATCCTTGCTTTGTTCAGAGATGCATGCTGCACAAAGTGAAAAATTCAGATATTGACTTATGATTTTCGTCATATCTATCTATCTATCATAGTAGTTAACACGCTCTAACCTACTTCCCAAAATGTAACCCTTGTTTTGTTCCAGGATGCCTGCTGTACAAAGTATGATATTCAGATATCGAGTTTTGATTTTCACCAGCTACCTAGTTACGATACTTACTTTTTCTGTATATTCCAGATAATGTCTGTATTTATGTTTCCCCAGTTTTTAGTATCGAGTATTATTGGACATGTGTCATAATTAGGATATTGATTTGTTTTCGCTGCGGACATTATTTAATTTATTTATCTTGAAATTGTCGCTTTTTAGCATACCTCAATTCTGGTTCTTATCTACATGCTAGAACAGGATATTTAAGTTCAATTTTTTATTTAGTTATTTTCTTTTACTTTAATACTACCGGTTTCGACTGCATTTTCGATATATTTAATTTTTTCCCTTATGTATTTAATTATCTATTGGTTACTTCTTCCCTCCTCTTACGGGAAACTTATTCAAACATTAGGAATAGTATGGTGGAAACTGAATGATATTTCCTTTTCCTTTCCTTTTATAGCGTACGGGCGTTGTCACAGCTGGATTTAGACATGGGTTTAACGGTTGACAAAAATTGTCTTTTATTTCACTGATTACATATTTTTCCTTCCTTCTTTTTCCCTCACCTCACCTGCGTGATGGGCCGGAGCTCGGGCGGCTCATTCATCTGCTGCTGCTTCCTCAGCAAGCGAGCGAGCATGCTGGTGCTGACCTACGTCCTATACTCTTAGAGGGAGGCACGCAGGCAGGAGGATGGCTACTTGTGAAAGCCTGCCTACCTCAATTCACTGAACTGAATTGCCTCTCTTCTTCATCTATGCTCTTTCTCATCAATGATGATTGACTTCAAGAGTTGCACAAGTGTGTATTGGGAATTGATATATTCTGTCTATGCTCTTATATCTTTCTCTTTCTTCTTGCACAGATCGTCTATAGCTTTTACGCTTTTCTTCGTCAACTCCTCAATTTCCTTCTCAAATCTCTTTGTATCGTCTTTTGACAATCCAGCGGCTTTCGCCTGATCTAGGGCCTGGTAGACAGTTCAAATATGTTAAGTGAATGGTACAAGTCGTGAGTTCTCGTTGTAGTAGATACTCCAAAAATGAAATGACAGCACGTTCGGGCATGTTCAGTAAAGCAAATCATCTGCTTACCTCCTTTCTTGCTCTTCTTATGCTGAGCTTGGCGTTCTCACCCGCCTTCGCTGCAAGTTTGCACATAGACTGCAATACACGATGACACAGTCAATTTTCCATTCAACTCAGCACAATAGTCCAGGCAAGTGAATATCCAAATCCCGTCACTTCCAGTCATGAGACCCGACTCACCTCACAGTGCTCCTTGGTTAACCTGCGCTTAACCGCGTAGATAATTCATCATCATGCGCCATCCAGCAACCACAAGCATGTCAGAGGCCCCTGAGCACACGGAAAGACTGGATCATTCAAGAGCATTTCTTGTCCTACCACCATACGTCTGACTCTATGAAGGCCGACTTTTACATATGCTACATTCCAGGGTAAGCCTCCTACGAATGACTATGACAGGTATTTACTAGACTTCATTACTTAACAGCATAGATGATTCGATCCTGTTCGCACCAGTTAACCTCATCGCACATGAACTGATGCGATGAGGACAGGTGTGTTTCAACGCTACTCCGTTAGACTGTAGTCTAACGGAGTATTTCGTGGAAATTGTAGGCCTTCCTTTCTAGACCAAAAGATATGGTCTCGGTACCAGGCGAGTCAGGAGAGACAAAGAGTCCCTCTCGCTCACTTGGAAGGCAGTCTTATTGTTAGCAAAGCATGGCCTCGAAGCATACAAAGACACAATGAGGATGGAAGATTTGCTGGTTCTTAATCTGACTTTCCATTTTGTCATACATTAAAAGGACATTGCATACCTTGGAAGAGGAACGGTGAGGGTAGAACCCTCCACCAATGGATTCAACCCGAGTGGCGACATTAATAACGCCTTCTCCACCTCCTTCAACATCTGGAAGACATCACGGATTCAAAACAGTGCCCCAGAAAACCGTGCGAAAAGACAGGAAAATAACATAAGAAAGGCTCCATAGATCAGTGTGGGCCTCTAATTCACTTTAAAGACACTGAGATGATCAGGTAGGGAACTCACGGACGGATCATACGGAAGGACGTTCAGAGTTTGAAGTCCAGCTACGGAGACTGCGGCAATGTGACTGAGAGGGGTCCGCACGCCATGGGCTTCTACTGTAATGTGGTCTAGCATGCCCGGCGAGACCCTGCCAGTGCGCAGTTTCGAGAGCTCCCTGGCAAGGACGTCTAGTGCCGTATCCATCATCTTCAGCGCACTCTCTTTGGCTGTGTCTGAGACATCTGCGACTTCGACGGTATCTTCAGCTTCTGCACAGGGTAGTAAATTGGATGCTCAGTGACGTGAAATGCATCGGCATGAAAGCAGCAGATAGGTTGTGCTTTGTACAACTCATCATACTTCTCATTGTGCAATGCTAGCACAAATGAAACCTGGCAGAGTTGCTAGCTAAACGCCTAATTCATGTAGGAAGCCAGTTTTCAGCATCAAGAATTGTGCTCATCCTCGGTGAAGAGGTGCTAGCAACTGGCGAGCCGGTGGTCAAGACGGGCTGTGACAAGGCTCGCCGACATCGCAGCGTAGCATTACTTCCTCACTCCACTAAAAGATTAACAGTTGTGAGAGGACTCAGATTAAGTGGCGTCAACAAAAATTGGCTTTGTCGGGCCATTCAGGCGAACGAGACCTTAATGGAAATTCTTCACAGTCCTCTGCGTGAAAATGACGACGATAATCCTACAACGTGAACAGCTAATTGACATCGAAAGGCTTCTAGAGCTGATAGTATCTACGCATTAATTTAGCATCACAATATGAGAACGTATTGAAACTTCAAGAATCCAGGACATCAGATTATGGGTGGTGATCTTTTTTGAATGGTCAACATGGCCGATATGGCCTATCAGTCGAACGAGACCTTTCAAGTTGTCGTCATCGTCCACGAAGCTTCAAAGTTTAAACTGTGTATGGTGAGGCGAGATCTATGTTTAAATATGAAAGTATCTAGATCTGGACAGTAAAGCCCTGCGTCGAATCCATGACATCAGATTATGGGTGGTGATCTTTTTGAGATGGTCAGCATAGCCTGTCAGGCTAATCAGTCGAACGAGACCTTTCATACTGTCTTCATCGTCTTGGATTTGCGCAGGGATAAGCAGACCAGGGAGGCAAGTCGAGTTCTAAATCTTTCAACCACACCACCCTGCTGGGTATAAGTCACAACCGGAAATAGGCGACGCGTGACAAACTTCACATCCCTATCGTCATCGTGAATACTACATGAAAGTAACACTTACTGCTCTTTGGCTTCTTCGCCTTCGCGGCAAAGGATCTTGACTGAACTAGTCCGACACACGCACTTGCCGTCGATCCGGATGCAGTCCAGGCTCGCTCAGAGCCGAGAGGCCTCCGGGGCGACCGGAACCCAGCAAACTTCCATTTCGCCAGACTATCGTCGAAATCTCGACCCCGGCTCAAGTGCTCCTCTAAATTCTGTATCGCCCTGTCCACACAAGATTCATCTGAGATGTGGGAGAAAGTAGTGCGCAGGGCCAAGGAAGAGGCAAATCTAGCACGGGCCGATTCGCAAGCTACACGTCGAAGAGTGATGGCGGCCATCGCAGACTCATTCCAAACAACCGTGTGCGGGAGTGTTATTCTCCTTCGAGGGGGCAGGCTGGAGGAGCTAAATAGTGAATCTATGTACTGATGTGGGTTTAGGGTTTCCCGGAGCAGCAGAGTCTCACTAACAACAAAACAGCGTTCAGTTCTCGTGGCAAACCTCGGGACCGGGAAAATATATAAAACGACAGAAAACCCTCCAAGCCCACAAGGAAGTAACGCCTACGAGCATAATAGGCCTGGAAAAATATCACGACGTAAGAATCAATTTCTAAATATAGGGGTATATTTCTTTCTTTCTTTCTAAAACACCAACATATCAGATATCCCGTTCAAGCCAAGTCAAGTAGGGTCGATTATTCAAGTTGATACTTCTACATAGCTCAAATGCTAAAAAAATTATGACTTCCGAAATTGAACTTTTGGCATCACCTATTATTGGAGTCCATACGTGAGGATGTGTAATCAAATGGTTTTGCTCTGTATGGTTGGTAACCGTTACATATATGACAGACAAAATATGTTCAAACCAAGTAACAATATGATCTAATCCTAGTTGCCACAAGGCCTATCGACGTTAGATACAAAACAATTACTTATATGCTCTAATTCTGATTGACTACAAGGCATACCAATGCCTTCTTCATATGGTCTACCATGTATAGCTATTTCCTCTACTGTCAACAGGTCATATGAAGATATGATGCAATTCTAACATTCCCATCCTCTCAAACGAACAATGAAATTGTAGATGTTTGCATCAACTTCGGAAAACGTTGAAGTCGTAGATAAGTAAATGATGGGAGCCAACAAAAAAATTTACACAAAATTCATACAAGATAAACAAGCTTGAATACTTGCTAAAGAAGAATGTTCCAAATTTAGATGTTCATTATATGTAAGTTAAGTCTTTAAACTTATTCTTGCTTGTGAGTGACTAGAAGCTTTACAAAAGCATAAATATACTAGGATAGAAAGCTTGATTTTATTCATTTGTTTTCATTGTTTATCAAACCTTATATGAAAACTATATAACATTTATAACATGTACGTTTACATGTGACTATATTTTCAAACGTTATTATCAACTTAAGTTACTTGAGTTGTAGTGAATACAGAATAAGCTAGCATACATGTATACATCAATTGACATAACACAAAACTTATTATCAAGATGAACAATGTTTACATCTGAATAGTTATAGTCAAAACCAAAATTATTAAGTTGAAATTATAATTTGTAGTCAAAGAATTTTCTATTTCATTTTTTATGTTAAAACATTAACTTTTTTCATCATGAGATCATTTAAATTTATAATATTTAAATGAGCCGATCAGCTGAATATAACGCTAATCATGTAGATTCTCACACACATATCCACTGAATTTATATTCGTAATATAACTTAACATCTCTTATTTATTTAAAACAAACTAATCAAAATACATTTATCAATAAAATTGTAGTAATTATGATCCTATAAAAATTCTTCTTAAAAAACTCATGCAAATATTTCATACTGTTTAATGCTTTGTGAATTATTTTGAAATATTTTACGAGAAATTATATGTGAATAAAATCTATGCAAAACTCCAAATCCCCATTGTTTCTTCTCACATAAAACAATGATCACGTTAACTATGTGAGCCTGACTTTTGCAAAGATAGCATCAATGTTCAAGTTCATATTTTCATAAAAACATGAAATATTATCATAATGAAGATATTGTTTTTTAAATCTTATTGAAATATTAAAAATACCCAATATTGGAAATCACATAAAACTAATTTCGGTTTAAATTTTTTCAAAAAAATCATAGCATTTTTTATTTATAGAATATCATTTTTATCATATTATAGTTTTTGTAGGCTTAACTTGGTGAAAGAACAAATAAGTTGTGCTTCTTAAGTGAAACAACGGTTTTTCCTCCTTGATCTATGTCACCTTTACATTATTAATTTTTTTATTGTATTTTTTAAACATTAACTTGTATAAACGTATATTCATATCTATTTTTATGACAGATTGTTTGAGTTTTTGAATTTTTAGATGATTTTGGGCATGGAACATGCCTTTGAATGTTGAATGATGGGCATGCCTGGAGCAAATTCTTTGTGACTCCAATTCTAGTTGGAGTATGAGTCCACAAGAGAGAAATAGAGGGAGAGAGAGGCGGGAACGAGAGACAAGGCTTGATCTTCTTACGTCTCAATTGTCGCTCGCTGCCTGCTTGAACGTGCTACTTAACTTCTGTGAAGTGCTTCCCCGCTCGCCTGCCTTTTGTTGCTTTGCCTTGGTTTTCCATTTTTTACGACGAGGAAGATGAAGGATGAGGGTGGGGGATAATTAGGCTAAACTAAGCCGCTGCCTAAATTTATCACATCAAATAGTTTAAACTTCAAACATTATCAAAATCATTAGTATATGACATGCTTGGTGTTGGTAAAGATTGTTGTATATTTGTTGACTCTTGATTTCTAGTTTTGTTTTAATGACATGCAAATGTATAATATATGAAATCATTTCTTCATCAAATCCTTTAGATGATTCCAACGATTACCAACTATGCGCACAAGTGCATCACACTTTAATAAACAAAACTAGTACCACAAAATCAACATGTAAATCGACATGTTGATTATCTACCAACATGGAGCAACACATATAATCACATCATTATGGACATTACATGGAGTTGTAAATGAAATATATAACTTAGAATTTGATGATAGTGTTGTGGAAATATATTGTATGATTTTATAAACACATATTAATGAGTATGAACACTGGATCATTTGTCATTGATACCCATAGCTTGGTGACATCATCTTGCAATATTGATCAAAATTACGCCCTATGTAGATCTTTCATCATTTTTTTCACTCTTGTGTGACTCATTTTAAACAACTCATGTGAATCTTCTAACATTGTAATTTAAGAATGAGTCAAAATGTTTAGATTTTTATCTCAAGTGCATTAAAAAATCTAGATAAATAATGAAATTATACATATTTTTCTATTATTTAAGCTTCAATATATCTATTTGATTAATGTGTGGACTAAAATCAAAGCACACATAAAATTGTTGTATACATGTAACCAATTTTGAATACAAATGACATTTTTTGTAAATTGAATAAAAAAATTTACATTGATCTATAAAATTGAAAATGGTTGATTTTTATGACTAACTGAACTAATGACTTTTGATGTTCTTGTTAATTTAAAAAATTGAAAAATATTTCTTTGTCTTTGACTTTGTCGGAGATGTACTATTATTCCTTTTATTTGTTTCGATTAGGTTGTTTGCTCACATGTTTCTTGCTTGTAAAACAGAAGAATGAAAGGTGTCATTTAAGTAATTTGACTTCTGAAAAAACTCAATCTTGGTTGCTCAAGATTCTGAGAGCAATCTTATCATGGATTTTTATATATGAAAATTCCAACTTACATTGTTGCACATAAGAGTATTCAGAGTAGCAGGATTCATAGTTGTCTTAAGTATTGATGTGCGACTAGTTGCTAAAAGAGCTAAGCGACTGGCATCGTTCTAAATGCACTTTATAGCAAGCACAAGACAGGTGCATGGCGTTTTGTCGATTATGGTGGAGTCTTCCTCGCATTGAACCTTAACCTGCTGTGCTGCTCAGGTGAATTCAAAGAGTTCTGGATGTTATTTTACTTCAAAGACAGTCAATTTGAGGTGCTGCTGGTAGAGAGCTTTGATTGCGCATATTATACCACTCGAGGACCATGCTTTACACTGATTCAATCGTAATGTTGTTTGCTAATGAGCTTTAAGAAGGGGCAAAGGGCTCTACTTGTGTTGGAGCTTCATGTGCTCATAACTATTTCGAGATCGGTTAAAAGAAAGTCAATTTTTCTCTGCGAGTCATGACGCATGTGTTGCATGCGGGGATGCTGGACTCATTTAAATATGAAAATGATGTAAAACATAAGCGCAACACTCGAAAGCCGTGTGATAGCTATTGATGGCCTCAGTGCCCTCGGTTACGATCAAGCAGGCAACCAGACTGCAAAGTCATCAACTGAGGATTTTTTGCAGTCCGATACATAGTAGGCCAAACCCATCTAGAGGCGTCAAGTCTTTCTAACTATCCTGATTAAATGCCTGCTTTCCCAAACACGTATAACTTGAATGTAACATGATATACAAGCTGATGCTCAACCTACGTGGTTTGTCAAATCCATACCTCAGTTCACTGATCTTTAGTCTAAAATAAATTTTCCTCAATTCATGCTTCTGCTTTCATCTCTTCGCTAATCTATTTGGATGCGTGAAGTTAACCAATTTTGTCCATATACGTCAAAAGTCCGCGTGGTACACGCACACCAGTTCTGGGTGTGTTACGGGAGCTCGACATAGAGGACATTCCGGTTTTTCATTGCACCACTCTGCCACGCAGTTCCTGGTTACCAAGGGGAATACATAAGAGTAAATTGTGAGATAACAGAATCTGAAATCTTACAGTAGATGGGTGCAGATCAATGGTAACAATGTCAAAATAAGTTTTGATCTTTACCAGCAAAAGACATGCCCGCATGGCGTCGCAGTTGGATGTTGACGAGCACTCAAACAAAGAGGACATTTACTTGATCCAGGGGCCTGGAATGTCAAATAAGAAGTTGAGATTTACAATTAGATCATACTAGCCATTTCAAAATTTAATGCAATACAGCAAATGGATATATCTTGACGTATCATTAAACCTCAACTACATTTCAAATACAAATCTTGTACAATAGACATCTAGTCAACGAAGGTAAAAATTGAGTTTACTATACTGAATAGTTCTATAGCCCCGAATGATGAGAGGAGAAGCATACCTCCGCATCTGCCCAACGACTTGACTGCCTATTAGTGCCCTTGTCATCTAATTTTCCACCATCTTCATCGATAACAGCTATCCCTCGAGAGTCTGATACGAAACATACAATATGATGATAAGCAAAGCTAGAGCACACATGAATTTACTGAGTAAAATCAATAGCAGAGGTATCGTTCTGCTGAGAAGCATTTCGATCATGGTGCATGGGTAAATCCGCTAACACCTACCAGCAGGAGATACAGACGAATAGGCTGCCCGTGATCGCATTGAGGAAGCAATGGAGGGAAAAACCGTGCGTGTCAACCAGTCACCGCAAACAAAACTTAGCTGGATAAAGAGAAACAACCCCAACATATGGTACCTGCCAGCAAACAGAACGAGTAGCTTAAAAAAATTTACTTGTTAAACGTAAGTCGTCAACAGTCACAACAAATGAGCACATTCTAATAATCCTTAGAATTACTATGAGTCTTGTCAGTACAGGGCTATTGTCTTAAGGTCATATTTACCAAGTAATTATCAGTAAGTGTCATCAAGTCGTACCTCGGCCTCTGCTGGGTCGGTCTGCCGGTGAAAATGTAACGAATTCCTGCTGCACGCTTACCCATATGATAATATATACCTATCATAGTTGTAAAGCAAGCAGTTTGAGTTAACATCACATATCCTGCTTACAGAGACACTAGTTAACTGTACCTGCATTGGTATACAACCTGACTGCCTTGAAGACCTTGATGAGATTTACAAGACGAAAAGAAATGCAGCAAAAGATTGTAGCAGAAAGAAGATTCTGACAGACCTTCAAAATAAAATAGCATGAGGTGTGTGCGCACAAACAGCATCAAGGCTTCACGGACTGACGGAAGTATCTGCTCTACATAACAACCAAAAAATTGGTAAAATGAGCGAGTAAGCTTTTCCTAAATCCTGAAGAACTCATGCAACTCCATAAAGCAAAATGACCAACGTCGAAACCTTATGAATAAATTGACAAAGGTAACAAGAAAGTCCGATACAAAAAAAATTTGGAAATTGTGATGAGAAGAAAAAATACCATTGCCCAACGCCTTAAAGCTGTCATCCAGGCCTGACGCAATCCTCCTGTCAAAGACATTCTACTTCTAGAGTTCACCTCTAGGGCGTTTCTTCTTAGGTTTGAGGACGCCAGCCTCTCAGAACCGCTTGCTTCTCTATCGGCACTCTCTTCCTCGCTAGAAATTTGAGACACGATATCCATATCATTCGGTTCATCCTCAGCTCCTAACGCCATTCCTTGTGCTGCCGCCCTTGAACTATGTTTGCAATGACATATATCACTCAGTTAATCCAACGAGAAAATACTTCCTAAATCAAGTAGGTAAACCAAAGAATGCAACTCCTTTTGTCTGACAATGGTTAAATCTGAAAAGAAGAGGCCCCCAGAGGAGCTGTTGGAGAAAAACAGCAAAAAACCTGACAGAAAACACTGACAAAGCAAAAAATGTTAAAAACAATTCGTTCCTTTTAATCAAGTTCCCAAGATATATCAACTCAATCGTAGCTAACCGAAGTCACAGATACGCTCTGTACGAAGTAAGTAAGTAAACCAAAGGATGGGTAGCTGCCCTTCCAGCACATATCAACTTAATCAATAAGCTGATCAAAGTCAATGATATGCTCTACATCAAGTAAGTAAACAAAAAAAGTAACATAAGTTTCTAAAACATATCAACATATACCTTAGCCGTTCTGCAAGATACGGTAGAACAGTCTGATAAAACACTAGCAAAGTTCTTCTGGCCGGTGTGGCAGGAAGACCAGGAACACCTGCGACCTGTAGGTAGATATCATCCGTGTCAAATGTGACATACCCAAAGTTTAGCGGGTGTTGAATATATAAGAGAAATTAAGTATTGAGCCACATCGTTAATTGGGTTGATCTTAAACTTGATTACCTGGACGATATCACAATATTCTTCTCCAAGAGTTTGAAGACCAGACCCCGTGGTCAAGAGGTAGTAGAGTACTCGTCCAGCTAACTTCATCTAAAAAGAAGGACCACTTCTCATTTCTTGTTAGCCGTGACAGCGCAGTAAAAGATTATCAAAACTGCAAATGTGCTGTCTATTCGCGCTTCACGTATTACTTATCGTCTATCGAGCCTAACCGTAAAAGATCGATGTAGATCATGTACGATTTCAAGGAACAATTTAGTCTGCTGCTTCCACTGATGAGAGAATGTACAACAGATCAGGATCCCAGACTTCGAGATGCGTTCTGTCCACTCAAATGGAAGGGGTACTAGGTAGCAGAGTCGACAGAACTTATGGGGCAACAAGAATCCTAAGAAACATTGACCACAGCTGCAACCTACCAAGGTAAAAGGCCCAAGGCAACACAAATAAGTCCTTCAGAGGTTCAAAGTTGGATAATCCAGCTGTAAATTATGAATGTGAAGATAAGTTCAAATCTAAAAGCAAGGTAACAGACGAAGATTACAGATATTTGAATGTATCATATCAAGAAACAAATTATGCCAGATTTTCTCCAACCAGATGAATGCTCAAACTGAGAAACAAGATACAAATTCAAGTCATTCACCTCATTCTGGTACGCAACGGCCAGCCTTGTTCCTGCCAACAGGAAGCCAAGCTCAGCGAGTAGAAGGGTGTTCACGACCAGACAAACATCTGTTTTCTGAATTTCGTAATGGGATCTATGCAGTGAATTGATTCAAATATATAAAACCATGAACAAAAAGCTGACAAATCATGGTACATGAGGATTCAAGCTCAAGCTCAAAACAAGGCCTACGGGGTCAGAAGAGGATAGTCCAGCTTCAAGCATCCAGATTTCAGAGTAACAAGATGGAAACAGAAATGCAATTGATTTCAAAAATAGGAAAAGCGAAAGAAGTCAAACGCCGTACCAAAAGTATGCCGAAAAGCATCATAACACGCCTCGCAAACTTGTCCCACATAATGCTCATCTTTCTCAGCGGCTCGCATCATCTCGGGTTGAGCGGCAGCTGCAAATTGCACAATTACATCCTCGCTGCGTTGGCTAGTAGTATCACTGGGAGTAATTCCTCGTTCAACATCTGCCGATGCTTCCTCCCGAGACATGTTTGCGAATAACTGCCTATTTAAACCAAGAGCGGATAATATACAACCCTAGGTGTGCAGACACCGCAATGACCCGAGAATTACGACCACAAAAATGAAAGACAACGTCCGCTTTGGCGATTCTTTGACCATGAATGCGCTTTCCCGTACTGCTAGAAACATGGTACGATGCTAACAATGTCCCTAGAATCGGCGAACCAAAGTTGCTGAATGAGAAGATGAATTGTCACAGTTCATCGAAACACAATCCCTGAATTCCTCCCTTTCGGCTGAAGATCACCCCTAGCGAATTCAGAGAATTCAAGACGAATATCGATTTGACGGACACCAATGAGCAGAAGCAGACGAAAGAATTCACAATGCTGCGTCAAAATCCATCCTCCTGACAGTCGCTCGTATCACATCAGCACATTTGCTGTTGTGGTTCCATCTCTCCTTCTCTCTCTGTCTGTGCTGAGGCTGCTCTTCGAGCGATCGAAGGTGCCAGCTAGGCATGGGTTCTCGAGTTGGCAGGCCTCGACGGGAATTGTGCAAAGAGAAGATATCCACTTCACGTTTGAATTTTGTTGAATGAATGAACTATTTTCAAAAAAATTCACAATATATTGTTAGTTATCAAGTTTTTATTCCACTTTTTAATTTCGGAAAAGATAATCTGCTGAAACTATTTTTTTTAACTATTCAGTCATGATTTTGATCAATTTGGATTTTTTAACAAGTTAATAAAAAAATTTATCTAATTAAAACAAAGAAGTATCTTGAGAAGAGGTGTTAAGTAGTGTAAACATTCATAATTGATAGCATTAAACGATCTGTTTTTTTAAAGAAATATAGATGAATAATCAATATGAATGAACTTGTCAATGAACTGTCAACCTTTGATTCAGTACCCATTTTGTAACAAATACACAGTAAGGTTTTTGGTCCACTCATTTTTCTTTACGAGGTCACCACCAACATCCTTACACTCTCATGCTGTACACACTCCTTACCCTTCTGAATGGTGTATTTAACCCTTGGCATTGTAATATAAATCCAATGCCAAAACACAAAGAACATAATAATTTAAAAATACGCAGAAATAGAGCTGGAAGAAACACAAGGACATACACGCAGAGAAGAGGACGGAAAAGATAAATAGATGAACCATCCTGATCCGGGGCTGAATAGATAATGGGGAAGAATTGGACTAAACTCGTAAGTTGATAGCCACATATTTTATAGCTAAATTAGAAATATTATGGTGTGGAACATTAAGACATACCAGCGGCTCTGAACATTCCTTGGAAAATGCATATATCATGAGATTTGATACACGGGTTTTAGCTAGGGCGATATTACGGAAAGGTTTATTTCGGCAGTAGTTTGTTTGTGGCGAAGGTGTTTGTGTTATAATATGCAATTGGGAGAGAAAATGAAATACACGTGGCACCTGAGCATGATTGGGAAAACTAATTAACTGGCTTGTGGTCACTAAAATATTTTTGTCACTCTTTTATCTAAGCATCAATGTACCAGATTTTCAAGCTAAGAATCATACACATAAGGCCAACACCTTATATCAGTTTGTAAAAACTCAAGACAAGGAGAGATATATTGTATGGTAACCAACACCTTGTATACCTTAGTGCTTTCCAACCATTCTGATGACAACAGTTCAAGGACTAAATTTAACAGTCTTGTTGGAAACCAGATAAATAGTGCTTTATTTATATTTCAAGAGAACTTATATTGTGTTAAAATCCAATCTTTCTGATTATATGTGGATTTTCATCATTGTAGCGAATAAATTGGTCAAAAGATTCAAAGTAACATACACAGCTTGGGATTTACAAACCATGAAATATGATGTTTTGCTCTGAAGCTCAAGGAGATCGAGGACAAACAAATACATCCATCTCTTCTCCTACTTGCTAATTGATGATTTATAAGAACATACCAAACTTACAAGGAATGTTAGCAAATATGATAGACGAATCCCTTATGAACTCTTCAATCTCCTTGACGTTCAACCGAGTTGGCTTGCTACCAATGAAAGAAATGACAGTCTACCTCAAATTTGATCATGTTTTAATGCAGACAAATATTACTTCGGTGACTTACTTCCAAGTCAAGTTTCAACTCAATAATATACCAGAGACCATAAGAATAATTAGGTCGTCTAGAAGACACATTGTTTAAAAAGAAAGAGCATGTTCATGTAACATAAAAATTAGGCGATGAATTGAAAAAATTGGTAGCGAATGTTCTGATAGTTGACATATGTGATTGTCACATGATGAAACATTAAAAAAAAAACTCAATTGACTATCAGAGTACTTTCTTGACAAATATTCACATGATTTTATTTGAATTATATAGTTTAGCTATTCATGTCATTAGATATCTATATGCATGTGATGTGGTGTTTGCAATTACGTTCTGGATGGGTATAGTTAACATGCAAGTAGATTATGAGTGTCGATATAAATTTCAATGGTTTATAATATGTGTGGATTTTTTCTTTTTTAAAGCGTTTCCAAGTTATTGTTCAAAGATGATGATTATAAATCATAGACATGACACATTATTAGAATATTAAAATATCCAAATTATTTATATACAATGAGCATAGTAATAGCCAAGATCTATATAAGCAAAGTTATTATCATATCTTTCCATTGTTGAATCATGCCAAGATAGATTTATATGTTCATGAAAGAGCATGTGAGATTTACCACACCAACTTGTGTAAGTTGCACTGTTCCATTGTATTTTAGATATCATGTAGGTAATTCGCAAAATAATTGTGATATGTCGAGGTGGGTGAAAGATTATCTACCATTGCGATTGTATTATTTTGTAAAGTTTGTTCATCGTCGTGGGGATTCTTTAGTCCACCCGTTGGGGGATTTAACTCTCTCCGAACGATTTAACGATTGGCATTTGGGTTTGCTTCGTGCTCAACGTCTTCCCCGTAAGACGACGAGCTCGAGCCCTCGCGTGGGAGCGTGGCCGCAGGTCAGCCGACAAGATTCTGCTGCTCTCCTGCCCCTCCCGGATCTGGGGACCCAGTGGGAATCTAGAGGCCACCGACCACACAATGAATCGTGTGTCCTGCCACTGCGCTCTTAATGGAAATTTGGAGGCAGGGAAATGATGCAGGCGATCCCGAATTCACGACGCGGTGGTGGTGGACTCGGTGAAATTGGTGTAGCATTGCTTGTGGCGGGGTGGGGTGCAGGATGGCGGTGAAAGGAGGGGGCTTTCGGAAGAAAGAGGGAAATTAGAGGACCTGACTGGCGGTGGATTCGGTGAAATTGGCGTGGCACTTGTTGTAGCGAGGCGGAGAATCGTGGTGAAAGGAGAGTGTGGTCCAGAGGGGACTTTTGGAAGCAAGCAGGGAAATTGGAGGACATGACTCTAGTCCTCGAGGAACGCTGGCCAGTGGAGATGGGCTATCTATCTATGCAGGGGTTCTTAATTAGGGACTAGATTCGGATGATGGAACTCGAGCAAGTGGGTGTTCAGTACTGTACTTATTAGCTTAGGACAAAACATTGCGATCTGCTCGTACCGATTGGCCCACTTTCTTCAGTCGCTTAATTGTTCTTTACGGCGATGCGGTTGCACACCATTGGCTGGGAAGATCGGGCAGGGTCGGTCCTAGGAGCAGTTGCGTCTCTATTGTCGAGCACATGAAGTCCGTAGACTGTCACTCCAAGAGCCAACGTCGGAATGTCAGTTTGCGGCAATTGTTCACTGTTTTCTTGGAGTGCAGAGAATTATTGACGGCTCTTCGGAACAGCTGGAAGGTCCGCTGAGTGTTTCCTGGGGTTTTAACAAAGACATTCGTTTGCCTTTTCTGACGACAAAGCCCTCCTCTGAGCAGCCTTCCTCCGAATCGTTTCCCCAAGCCGGCTTGACATCATTGTTATCCCCGTGAGAATGACGGCCTGATTAACATGTTCTGCGTGACTCGCTGATGAAAACCATCACGCCGCGGATTTCGAGGGCAGTGTTTTGACACTCAGTTGTTGAGGTTTTCACGCTCTGATGTCGATTGCGCTGTCAAAGGCGAAGAGCAAAGATCGATGATACTCAGTGCCACAGGAACAAGGTGTTGATCTAGCGGGATCTTGGCCGACAAGTACTAAGAAGCCCATAGGGCGTAGGGAATTTTGAATCGAGAGGTAGCGAAGATGGGTTGGGTGACTAAAGCCTCGCAAAGTTTGGAAAGCGTTCCTCTGAACGGCGAGACTCCTCCAGCCGATGTCGGAAATTTGGCTTACCTCGTGTTTTTCTCCCTGGGAGCAGCCGTATTATTGCCATGGAACGCGTACATTTCAGCCGTGGACTATTTCGATTACCTCTATCCTGGAACTCACATCGACAGGGTGTTTGCCGTCGTTTACATGTTTCCCTGCCTCATCGTGCTGCTGTATCTAACTCTGAACGGCCAACATTACACAACCTCGTTTCGGGTGAATGGCGGCCTTGCTCTTTACTTGCTTGCGGTGGTACTTGTACCTTTAATGGATACCCTTTTCATCAAGGACGCTGGTAGCACGTTCACACATTACGCGACAGTAGCGTCGCTTGCATTGACAGGAGTGGCTGATGCTTTAGTACAAGGAAGCGTCATAGGAGCAGCGGGTGAACTGCCAGAGCGGTACATGCAAGCTTTTGTTGCCGGAACGGCAGCTTGCAGTAAACTTTGTGTCCTCTGCCCGTTTATTTCGATTCTCTCTAACGCCCTTTTGATTGATTCCAAGCTGTTCATATGCGTGCATCTCTTGCCCCGTGTTTCAAAGCATGGTTCTCTAACGTCAAGCCTCTGCAGTCTTCATTTTTTCAATCTTTGTGATTCCCTTTTCCCTTTGTTCTCCTGACCGAATGCCTTCTCCCCAAATCTTCCCAAGAGTTCACTTCCTTTACTTCAGAAAGGATTGTGAGCCACCAAAGGGCTGTTGTATATTATTCATCGTCTCATCATGTTCTGAGTTCCTGGTTGCGACTTAGTGCACTCTAGGACAAGGCGTTTGTAGCTCAATTTTGACCACTGTGCGGTTTGATTCCTTTTTAACCAGTCAACATTTTCGATAATTGTTTCCCGTTTTGAACACATCAGTGCTGACAGTTTCGTTTGCGTCAGTCATTATCTGTCCGTTAAGAAAATGATGTCGAATTGTATCAGAAATTAGACACTGGTAAATGTTTCTCTCCCGCTCTCCCTTATTTCGTCACTGGCCCTCACGCGTGTTCTGTCTGAACTTTCGATATCATTACAACCCATAACAATTCTCACTTTCATATTTTATTCAGCTTTCACCAATCAAAGTCCGCACGCTCTTGTTTATTTCATCTGAAGGAATGAAGAGGGCGTTATCCTCATTCATCTCCTGGCTTCGTTTATGTTCACATCGTGAGGTCAACTCGCTCTGAAGCAGACCAAATGTGCATTCGTGATGTCACAGGTGTCCTGGTTTCTGCACTGCGGATCGTGACGAAGGCGGCCTTTCCAGCAACAATAGATGGGCTGAGAATGAGTGCCAATCTCTACTTCGTCGTCAGCGGGTGCTTCCTTGCCTTCTGCATAGTAGCCTACAACTTAGCCCACAAATTGCCCATCTTGATTTACTACCGGAACGTGAAAATTGCGGCAATGGCAGACCAGACCTTTGCGTTCGAAGTGCACTCGAAGTCCGACTTGGCTCCCGAGGAAGCTAGGGCACTGCTGCCCAAACCATCTTCAGCAGTAACCTTCGGCCTGAACAACGACACCGCCTTGTTTGTGCTCTCACACATTCGCTGGCTTGTTACTGCGATGGTGCTCATGTACGTCGTAACGCTCTCCATCTTCCCGGGATTTTTAGCCGAAGATGTGCACTCACTCGCCTTGGGAGATTGGTACCCAATTTTGCTCATTGGTGCGTTTAATGTATTCGACCTCGTGGGCAAAAGTGCCACGGCTGTGTACATTCTGGACTCGAACACGTCCATCGTCGGCGGAACATTCGGGAGGTTGATCTTCTTCCCATTGTATTATGTGTGCCTGCATGGACCCAAGTCCTTCCGCACGGAGATACCCGTGTTCACGCTGACCTCTCTGTTCGGACTGACAAATGGTTACTTCTCGTCTTGTCTTCTCATCGTCGCCCCTAAAGCAGTCCCATACGCTGCAGCAGAGACGGCAGGGATGGTTATGACTATCGCTCTTATTACAGGACTGGCCATTGGATCCGTGGTTAGCTTTGTGTGGATTGTCTAGACTGTTCTGTGGTTAGGCAGTTTTTAATCGCAAATACACGTGACATTGTGCATCTTATGCACGTCGCGGTGATTACCCTTTTCGAAATCAGGTCGTAATTGAGCAAATGCACTGAATCAGTCACATTCTGGTTCTTGCTGTTGCTGTGTCTCGAAGATGATGCTGATAGGAAATTTGGGCAACTGATGAAAACCTCTTCCATGTATGTACCTTACTAGCACCGGCTCTACCTCTTGCTAAACATACGTTTTGATATCCTGATTATAAATTCAATTCAATTCATTTTGATCTTATTTAAAGGTAGTCTGTACGCGAAATGCGTTGTATACGACATCACCTTCGCTGCAATCTTACGGGAAGAGCGGTGCCCTTTGTGATGACACAATCCGTGGTCATACTTCTTAAATTGCTTCACCATCTGCATGGGCATGTATCACTCCGGACAGGGATGGTGACATTACTGTCTCCATATGATTGCTGTATCGGGAAGATGATGCTGGTAGGAAACTTGGGCAACTGATCGAATCTTCTTCCATGTAGGTAGTTTTCTAGCAACAGTTTTTATATTGCCAAGCACACCATTTTATACCGTGATTTTAAGTTGATTTTAATCTTATTTTTAAGTAGTCTCCTCGCAAAACGTGTTGAGAACTACACCACTACTACATTGCAATCTTATGGAAAGAGAAGCGCCCTTTGTGATCACATATTCCCTGTAGTCGTAGTTCTCAAAATGCTTCAACATCTGCATGGGCATGTATCACTGCTGACAGGAATGGTGAACTTACTGTCTTCATATGATTGTTGCTGCTCTATGTTATCGACCAAATGATCCAATGGACCACGTTGGGTAAACTTCTTTGAGCAAAGAACATCATTTAGCGTAAAAGGGGATAGTCTAAAATGTAATGTTCTATAAGGACGATGCGGACAGTCTAAAATGTAATGTTCTATAAGGACGATGCGGACGCATGAGCTTCAGTGGTATGTTGTATCTCGAAGTACTTTGTAAAGAGCGACCACCGGTCCAAAGATCAATCTAACACCATAATCTGGCTTGTAAAGAAGAGGAGATAATTCAGTTTGAAAATGATAACATACGAGCAAGAAAAAGCGGGATAAAAGCAATGGCAATAATACGTGACACGAAAAGTATCATGCAAACTTTATATATTTCGTGGAATAAGAATTATCTAGATGCAACTGTGAGTCCAAGAAATTATCTTCATAAATTTAAATATGAAATATCTAGATATATGCAGTTATCCATATAATCACTTTTGCGATTATAATTTCTTTTATTTATATCATATATACATTTCCTATTATAATCAGTTATAATAGTCTTCCCGCATTCTATAGATCACTGAATCGTATAGTCTCGTGTCCCTTGGACCATGGGGTTCGAATTGAGGCCCCACAAGCCTTAAGTTGCGGAGTAGCCAAGCCTAGGTACAAGATGCGCCCTTCCCTTCCGGAAAATTTTATATGATTATTCTTTACATATACAAAAATTAAAATAGTAAACAATAATAAAAGGATGTCTACTTTATAAACTCTATGTGATGAAAGATTGATATTTTAAAAAATTTTATTTCATTAAGTTCACATAAAGATGAATAAAAAAATCAACTTTGCACAAATTACTCAATTCGAATATCTTCTGAAACTTGATTATATCATGAGCATGAATAATCATATGCTCCAGATATACATCATAATTGTTACAACATTAATCTAATACAATCTAAATCAATAACACATATATAATGTATTTAGTCGATTACTAACATATCAATGTATGTTATTATATCTGATAATAACACAACCTTGAAAATGTAAAGAATAATGTTTTTTCGCAATTTAAACAACATAGGAGTTATCACTCATAATCAAGAATAGTTATAATAATCATTTGATTAATATATCTAAATATGCTTAATTTAGTTTACTCAAAAAAAAAATTTTGATCAATTTAATATCCTCCAAAAACTCAATTTAGTTTAATTTATTCTACTCAATAAAATTAATTTAAGTTAATTTAATCTTCTACAAAATTTCAATTTAGTTTACAATAGTTTACTAACAAAAATTAGGTTAGGTTAATTTTGTCTACTGAAAAAATCAATTTAGTTTAATTTAATTTATATATCCTAAAAAATATTAAATTTAGGCTAATTTAGTACACTCCAAACAAAATTTAGTCAATTTTCAATACAAATTGTTTACTTAGCATTTATCGATGCTCAAATTGTTCTATGAAAAAAATAATTATGCTTGCATGACTCATTTTAATCCAAAGTTTGATGATCTTTTGCGAAACACATCTTTTTTCCAACACAAAATTTAAAAGTCATACTCTTCCGCATTGAATTTAGGAAAAAACATTGCAATTACACCACAATATTCCATTAAATTTGGATCTTGAGCATCAAATGAAGACCAAACATACTTGAAACTTGAACTGCTGGAAAGTGAATTGACAATGCACTTAACTACTGGATTACAACTTTTCGTTCATTATCTATAAAATCAATCTGCTCTTATGAATAGGAATGTTTCAATCAAAAACATGTTGTAGATTCTTTCTTATAAAATCTGCTATATATAACTTGAAAAGTTCATGTGGTAGCACATGAGCAATAGAATCATAATCAATCATTGCATTGTTATTTTGATCTTGATAAGCACAAATTTTATCAATTTGATAGCGGACAATGAAAAAAAAACAAGAGTGATATCGTGTTTGTCGTGCGACTCAGTATCGCCATACATCATACATTGTTGACATGCTCTACTCACAACTCACACATACATACACAAGGAACGAGCGTGTCCACACACAAAGGTATCACAACTATCACAAACAACTCATATAGTCACGTAGGAATTGTGTCAACCGTCGCCTCTCTCCTCCGGTGGTCTGAGAACCAATCGATGGCTCCCACTCCTCCTCCATGGACCCACAAGAGGAAGGCGATACTGTCACTGGTTGCTATGACACCTCCTCCAAAGAAGGGTTCTCCGTACCCTCCTTCGTAGCAACCTCCCCGTGACCAACATCTCAAACTGCATGGGCGTCTACTCTCGCAAGTCCTCTCGTCACGTCCCATGAACTCCAAGGATGACAAATATCTTGCAAGTCGCCCCCAGCCATTGCCACTACCGTCCCGGTAGGCAATGAGCTAATAAGTGGTGTAACAACTACCAAATCTGCGCGCAAACGGCGTTGCTCGGCCAAACCCAAGCTCATAATCCACGTCAAGCAGTTCAGGTCCATAGCCTGACCCAAAACATGACGACGCGATGACTCTGAAACTGAAGAATCCGCGGTCACACCTGTAAGAAACCCCATCGCACGCTCTCTCTCATCAGCGTTGGGCTCCACCAACTGATGTAGGGTACTGTCCCACAGTAGTCCAGGTCCCCCATCACGATATGCATGTGATGCCGGATAACTGACCAACGTAGGCAAAGCCATCCGAGGCTGACCTACGTGGTTCACCAATGCCATGGATGACCTATCCGCCACTCTCACCACCTGAGAGTATCGAGATACATCCAAGATCCTGTCAACGGTGAGGGTAGGATCATGATGCACAGAATCATACGCATGACGCAACATCTCTCGTGGTACAAGGTTGATCCACCATAAACGTGCACGATGAGCACGTGAACCAACCCTCGCAGCATCCAACAACACTGCTGATCCAATCCATGCACTGACCTCATGGACACTCGCCATCAACTGGGCCCGAGTGTCACCCAACAATGGTACGTTCTCTAGAATGTATGCGGGAGAACGTGTCTGCTGCTCCTGGAGATGACGTAACACTCGTAGCATCTCCCAAAACATCTGAGATCTCGGGTCATGTAACCCTGCTCCATGCCCAGCGCGTGTGTGCCCCTGACATGGCCATGCCGCAATCATCAAATCGATATGTCCAACTCGATCGAGGTCTGGCCCCCTTAGCAATGAAATGGCTGAAGGCAACGCCTTCTGGTATCCTCGAACAGCTGATCGCGGCAACAACAAAGGAAAACGCTGCATCAACTGTGTAACATGTCGTGAAGAAACCCGACGTGCAGTCTTGTCCTTCTCCACGTACAAGTATCTACGTACAAGAATACCTGACTACAACACTTCAGCCAAACCCGTGCTGATCCCTCCAAAAAGGGCCAGCAAACAAACACCCTCCGGGGAATACTCCCATACGATAGGTGTAGTAACTAATGGTGATAGGGTGCTAAGACCACATACTAGCCGACCACCTAAGACTCGCTCTGCCTCTGCTGGTAAAGAGGCCTCACTCCAAGCCTTCTTCACCAACCTATCAGCCTCCTGCTGTAATGCGTGGCAAGAATCCCAAAGTGGAACATCCAAAGATGATGACACTGCCGCTGCAAGACTCACCATCTCCTCCACCTCCTCATAGACTGGAGTATCCTCGGCTGATCTGTTCCCCTCCAACAAGTCATCAAGGCATGTGAGCACTCCACTGAAACCCGCAATAGAGGCTAAAACTGAAGGAGAAGATCCAAGATCTCGAGAAATGAACCTCACATGCAGCTCACTCATACGTCCATCACCGGACTCCCAACCAGGGCGATAAGCTGCCGTCTCCGTTCAATAATCCATCCGAAATCCCATCGGGTATAACACCGCTCCACCAACAAGCACATCATATGACTCTGCTGATGTCACCACCGCTCGAACTCCAAACTGCGAGCTATCCTGAGCATGACCATGCCTCAACTGCATTGATATGCGCTCTCTGGTCATCCTGTACGACCTGTCGCTGGTGCCACCGAGTGATGTTTGAATCTGGAACGGACAAGGCTCCAACTCGGACCTCCGAACTTCCAAACTAATGCAGGCAATCTTGCCCAACATCAAAGGCTGTGCACCAGAATCCAGCAACACTCTGGCTGGGACATACACCTGCCCTGTAGCACTCACTAAGCGAAATACACCGCTCCGGTTGTCCATCATACACACACCAGAGACAATCCTCTCCCGATCAATGGCTGGTCGGGCTGGCAAGGACTCCATCCGTGCCGCTGCCGCCTGCCATGTCGACTCATCGCCTGATGGAGTCGTAGAGGATAGCTCCTCATCAATAGTCTCGCCTATCTCGGCACTCGTAGCAGTGATACTCTCACGTTCACACAACGTGGCTGCTGCACAAAAAACCCGAGCCAAGTCGATCCCAGAATCTATCACCTCTGTAGCTGAAAATAGTGGAAATCTCATCAATGAGCTAGCCATCCGCGTCACTGCAG